TTAAAGGATTAAGATGAAAGGATAAGTAAACTGAGTCCTTGTCACAGGAAAGAGATTCTCACACATTCATAAAATCTCATGAATGTTTATATTGTTTTTGTCATATGTAATGAATTTAGACCACTTTCAAGATATCTGTTTTTATTTGTGTTTAAGTGCATTTTTCTGTCATTTAAGAGGTATTCATTATTCTTTTATTCCTTGTTTTAAAACACAAAACATGAAATTACAACTGGGGATTTTCCATCCGAATTATTCAGGTAATGCAAGAAATAATCTTACGAAACAGCGTTTTTCAAGTTTATAAGATAACCGATTCACAGTTTTTCCAGACTCTTAAAGTTAAGGTAAATTATTATATCATTTTTACAGTCATATAAAGTTTTTCTTGGTAATTCTATAATAGGTCTTAGGTAAATGTTGATAGTACCCAGGGCCTCATCTTTTGCCTTGTCACACCTAATTTGTTGGCTTCGCTAGTAGCCGACATTAATGTCCATGACGGCATAGACTTCTGCTGTTGTACCCACATCTAACAATATCCATTGGAAGGCAGCAAATTACTATAAGGATCCAGACTCTTACAAAGACTGGTACATCAATATTCTGAGTGCATTAGGGAGTGTGTGCTGGTGTTTCTGGCCACCACAATGTAAAGTGGTAAACAGTGTTTGCAGCCTTCTCCTGCAGGCGCTGTTGTTGTTCCATGAACACACGACTCCTCCCACTCACTTTCTCCAAAAAGACCGAGGAGTGTGTGAGTGTGTGTGTGTGTGTGTGTGTGTGTGTGTGTGTGTGTGTGTGTGTGTGTGTGTGTGTGTGGTGTGTGTGTGTGTGTGTGGTGGTGTGTGTTCAAGGGGGGTTAGGTATCTGGTAAAAGAACAAACAAAGACACCATAGCGGCCACACTCCTGTCTCTGGCTGCACGCCATGTGCCTCACCACAAACCACAACTTACCACCACACACACACCACACACACACACACACACACACACACACACACACACACACACACACACACACACACACCACACACAACACACGCACACACACACACACACACACACACACACACACACACACACACACACACACACACACACACACACACACACACACACACACACACACACACCCCTCCCAATCAGCTCTTTCCGCAGATCCACACTGATACGCCCTTGAGAGCCCAAATCATCTATTGCAATACCAGATCTCCAGAGATAACCTCACAAAGCAAAATCATCTGCTATTATTGCCTGGCGCTCATTGACATTGTGCCATTAATAAGGCCATTGTGGAGGGCGCTCTCTGTTTGGACATCGTATAATAGACTCTTTGACAGATTTACTTTGCTCTCTCTGCCCCTACCCCGTCCTTTTCTCTCTCTCTCTTGTGAATACAGCGTGCATACTCCACGCTGCCGCTCATCAATAGGCGAGCTGTTTGTTTGCTTACTCATTCTGGACTGATGGTAAATACATAGAGGTATTCCAGACCAAAGGCTGAGCAAACAGGGGTTACATAAAGGCACTGTACCAAAACACGCATTAGAGAACCCCCCCGCACACACACGCCTCACACCCGTCACCTCCCTTCATGTCTTTTTTAAGCTACTAGTCTTTCTTGTTCATTCTGTCCGCAGTATTTTTCAACAACAATTAGGTCTGTGCCCTCAGGTGGAAGATAGCCTAGAGGTGGGTGGGGTCAACACTAGGCTGGCTTCAAGGCCCCCAGGTGTTTGGTATCAACATTGACATTCATCAGAGACAACCCACAGAGTCCCTCACACCGCACTCAGGTGCTAACAGACGCTAGCTGCTGCTCGGTGGAAACACAAAAGAGACCACAGCTACTTGACATCAGTGTTACCCTGTACTCTACCTACACCCGTACAGTCTGATCAGCCTGTGCTGCACACAACTGTCACATTTTAAAAGTTTAGAAAGGGAATACATACATTAGCAAACCAAAACAATTAGCTGGAAGAAGCTAAACATTTCCGTAAAAGCTGAGAAAGATAAATCTCTGTGGGTGTGTCCCTACTATTGACCCCTTTAAAATAGTAGTCACCTGATCCATTTACAGTTTATATTAATACTGATTAAAGCTGCTATATACACTCTTTTACAATTGACTTATTACAATTTATTATTGCTATGACTGGCGGCTACTTCACTACTTTTATATGTTCACTTTCTTCATAATGCTGCTCCTATTTTGATCATGGAAGTGTATTTATTTGATTTGATTTAAATGTATTAATGTGTGCTTGCCTCTTTAAGTAGTCTACTTATTTTTGACCTTGCCTTCTATCTTCACTGTCCCCTTTGCTTTGAGAATGTAAGGCTTTTTTTTTCTTATAATAAAAATCAATGATCAAAACAATCTATATCCTTTTATTTCCGATCTAATGATGTGGATATTTTTTTAATATATTGCCATGACAACTATATAACACGATATCTAGATATGAGAATTTAGAACCAAAGATAAAGAGGGACAATAAGCACTTACCACTCAGTCTTTGGCCCACCATACTTGATTTTTTGAGAGGCATTTAGCTCTAAGGAGCCAGCAAAAGTGCAGATGTCACATAAACAACTGTGGCTAGAATAAATAAAAACATCCACAAATACAAACACTGGAGTAGATAAGTTGGTGTGAAGAGTGAAGAGTGAATGGATGGTGGCAGGGTACAGAAAGTTAACGTTGTGTGTGTGTGTCCATGGGTGTGTGAGGGGGGGGTTCTCTGTTTTGGGAAGCCTTTGGCAAGTGCTCAGCGTTGGACCGATAAGGGACAATTATGACCAGTTAGGCCCTTTCACAGCCTAATGAGGGCCACAATTACAAGGGTCTGCACAAGAGCTAGTCAACACACGCTGGACGCACCCACGCACACAGGGACGGACACAAACACTTTTGTGCTAACACAAACACTTTTGTGCTAACACAAACTACAGGTGTGTGTACAAGCTTGCTTTGAGACACAACAACAAAACAAAAGGACCCCGGTGAATATTCAATGGTGGATAATGACAGATTGTATCAGGACACACTTTGTAAATACACCACGCCCATCAACACGAGCATAGTCAGTGAGAGTCTTTCTCTGAAGAGCACCGCACAAAAAAAAACACACACTGACAATTGTCTTTGTGCTTCAAGTGTTATGTTTCTTTAAAAGTAAATCCAACCTTACGTGTTTATGTTCACCGTGATAGCAACGTTTTGAATCGATATGCATGAGAAAACATTTCCAAGAAATGATGCTGTCATGCTGATGTTCAGCAGGTTTATTGTTTACCATGTTCACATGCTAGGTTAGCGTGCTAATGTTTGCTGATTATTCAAAACAAAGTACTGCTGAGGCTGATGGGAGTGTCTTTAACGTTACAGGTATATAGACACAAAGAAGACACTAACAAAGAATATGGATCCTTAACGTTATACTTTTAAGTTATAATTCTGCCTGAGGGGGAAATAAATGTCTGAACCAAATTGAATGGTAAAGTGGTGATGAAACTTTATGTTTAAGAGACGTTTAACTGAAAACCACCAATATCAACCTCATGGTAGTGATACAGAGAAAGTAAAATAATCCACAAAGTCCTTTCATCCTCTTGGGAACATGAATATATATTCCAAACTTCATGGCAATCCATCCAATAGTTGTTCCAGCTTGAACCAAAGTAATGGATCCATCAACAGATTGCATGCCATCCTGATTAATTGTGCTAGCATTATTGTTCACTTAGTTCTCCAACTTTAAACCATATCTCTAAAACAACCTGGTTTTTAGAGGAATACAACGACACACATACACTGACCCAGGTCCATACTCCTGTAACACAACAAAAGCTTTCCATTAGTAATAACCTTGCTGTAGAAACCTGAGAACAGCTGCAGGGTTCTTCATCCTGCTTGATTACCGTCTGAACAAACCAGTCCAATCAGTCCCATTCATGGTCCCAGCACTCACTGGGAGGACCCTAACCCGACTCACCCCTGCAGAGGGCCGGCCCCTCAGCCTTGACCTGAGGTGTGGATGCTTATTGTCGGACTCACCAGCCCCAGCGCTTTCACAAAGGCTGGGAAGCCAGAAATTAGGCTGCTCAAGTGTTGTTGAGGGGACATTTTTAGAGTCGAGAGGAGTATTGGTAAAAGCGTCAGGTGTTTGTGTTTTCCCTGCACGGTCTATTGTTTGAACCACAAGGCAAAGAAGAGTGTTGGCTAGCAGAGAGATTCAGCTTTCAAAGGAGGAGGAGAACCCAGGGTTTAGTTATTTTTAAATCTACAGTATTTCATAAATTGATTAATTCTTACCAAAATCTATTCAGCCACTTTATTATATCTATCTATCTCTTGGTATAACGTTGGACCCTGGATGTGTATTGTATTCACCCCTACAAAACAAACATTAATTGAAAAGTCAATATATAAATGAATCACAGAGCACCTTGTTTGATTGGTGCCCATAGTTATCAATGAATCCCTGAAGCGTTGAAAATATTTATTTTACGACAAAGGAAAGGAACTTGTGGTGGCTGGAGGTTGAAAAAATGATCTTCCAAGTACAGTATTATTCAAATTGGACCAAAACAGCCTGTGAGAAGAAAGGCTTAAGTGCTGCAACCTAATGTGGAAGTTTCCATATATTTAGCTTTGTTTTACTAGCTAACTGTCATCTGGAGTGTTGCCAGATCGGGGTTTACACGTGTAAAACAGGTTAAGGTTAATAGGTTTAGTAAAAGGTTTAATCTGATTTAGTCTGCCCAAGGTCTAAACATGTTTGTTTGCTGTTGTTATGTCTCATGCATGAATAAGAGCACATGTTTTGCAAAATTAGTATGAAAGATTTAAAGATGTGAAAATGTAGAGAATTCAAAACATCTAGGCTTCAAGGAATATGATAAAAAAACAAAATAGGAAGTGGGTTTAAAAGGGACAAAGTAGGAGTGAGGTATAAACAATCTTGTATTGATAATGTAACAAACTCACAGTCCTCGAAGTTGGAGCGACCGTTGTTGCTACTTTGCTGATGAGGCGTTTCGTCCTGCAGTTTGGAAAGAATGCTCAGCACCTTTGTTTTCTTCTCCTCCATCCTTCTGTGAATCTCCTCAATTCTGTTGTCAAGACTCCCGGGCCTCCTTCCTCCGTCAGAGTACTCGACATGTTCCCCCCGACCAGGATAATTGGACTCTTCTTCGATGGGGCCCCCTTCATCTGAACCTGAAGCGGAGAGATACAACATAAAATACATTAAGAAATGTAATGGAGTCTTGCATCGAGCAGTCTTTTTTCTTATTGCATCGGACAGGGGTTGGCTTTTTATATAGAAATACTGTAATCAATACTGTCCTGAAACACATCTGTATTCATAGTCGTCCACACGGATGTAGCCACTTGGTAAAAAGCACTGAAAACCCATTTCAGTTCCTCTAACAAGCACTAATTCTCATCACATTGTTCTCTTAAATACCACAGTCACATTTCCCTTCAGCCCTTTCAGGGTCTCACTAAGGAACGGACGCTCTCCCTGAAACTTAAACAGCCAATTAAGAGCCCCATTATCTGTGAATATAAAGTCCACAGAATACACTTTTAGGTGTAGCAGCGCAGAGACAAAGAGCCATCAATGCAGACTTGAGCTTAAGGAGGGCTTTGATTGTCTTCCATCAGAGTTTTGGAATCTTTTCTTGTTACTTATGCAAACGTGAGTGGTACTTCGCATGAGCGATAATTCAAATGCGATGTGTTTTGAGATGGGTTCATTAATAAGGAGGAGAAAGCTTGACCGGTTTGGAAGCTGACAGCAGATTCATCGAGGCTTCCCAACATGGTGGTGTGGATTCATTTTTCCCGTCAGTGAGCGCACAGAGGTCAGCAGCCCAGATTGATGCGGCCATGTCTCATTTGACAGGCCGTCTTCCACCAGGCTGCACACAATCACACGCTCACGTCCGCCTCATCGTCCTGCTGGAGTCTCAATGTCACCAAAACAGACGACGGGATGAGAAATGTACCCGTCTTTTGACAACAAATTCCAAATGTCTTAATCTTTTCATCTGCAACATAAAGTAGGCATGTCCAGCCATGCAGTGGGGTGGTTTGTAAACTACCTCTCTGAAAGGTCCCAATGTGTTCATTTTGATGGGCTGTCTTCTGAGTGGTTGGACATTGCAAATGGTGTACCCCAAGGTTCTGTTTTAGGTCCACTTTTATTCTCCATCTACATCAACAGTTTAGGTGAAAATGTGGATGAAGCTACTTTACATTTTTATGCGGATGATACCGTGATGTACTGTGCAGGTCCCTCCATTAAGGACGCTGGTGTTAAATTACAGGCTGTTTTTAACATTATTCAGACTCAGCTTTCTGAACTTAAGCTTCTTTTAAATGTTGAGAAAACCAAGGTAATGCTCTTTTCTAAAGCTAAAAAGACACCAGAGCCTGTTTTAGATATTGTAACTACGCAAGGAATACAACTTGAAGTGGTTACCTGTTACAAATACCTTGGTATCTGGCTTGATGATTGTCTCACTTTTAAACTTCATGTCAATAACCTGCTTAAAACACTGAGGGTTAGGCTAGGTTTCTTCTACAGGAACAAAAGTCCTGTTTCTCGCTTGAGGCAAGGAAAAGGCTAGTCACTGTGACCTTTTTACCTGTGCTGGACTATGGTGATTTGATGTATATGAATGCACCTGCCAATTGCCTGGTCAAGTTAGATGCTGCGTATCACAGTGCACTGAGATTTGTGACAAACTGTAAAGCATTAACCCATCACTGTACCCTGTATGCAAGGGCTGGTTTGCTTTCACTAACTGTACAGAGGCTCAGTCACTGGTACATTTTTATATACAAAGCCATGTTAGGGAAACTTCCATCTTATATCTGCTCCCTGATCTCATAGAAAATTGTGAAGGCTACTGCCTGAGATCGAATGCTGTGGTTTTATTAAATGTGCCAACTGCTAGGACTGTCTTAGGGAAGACAGCTTTTAGATGCGCAGCTCCTCTGTCTTGGAATAGTCTGCAAATGAAATGGAAACTGAACAATCTGGTGCCACTAAATGTTTTTAAAGCTCGGTTGGATGCTAGTCAATCGGAAGCTATTGGTACCTGTTCATGTGGATAATTATGTAAATGATGCTGTATGATGTCCTTTTGTTGTTCTATTTATGTTTTATGTTTCATGTGGAACTACTTGAGCAGGTCTCCCTTGAAAAAGAGATCAATGATCTCAATGAGATTTATCTGTATAAATAAAGGTTTGAAATGAAATGAAAGTAAATGTCTAGGATATCTCTAGAGACATCATTATGAATGTGATGAGAAAATACTGTTTTTCAAAATCATATATTAACTTCATAAAATACAAGATATTTATAAAAATGTTTATTGATGTGTTGTTTAATTTAACTGATTGATGAAATGTTTTATAAATTCGAAAATAGTGATTTTACCAGCAGAGTAGTTTACTCCGCTTTTAGCTCGACTCAAGGCGCTCAGAAGCAATGCATTGTGGGGCAGTTGAGTTGGTGCAGTAAGTGGGCGCCGCATACTTTTACTATTTAAGTATATATACAGGTATTTTCTCACGTACACAACATCCACAAGCCGTGTCAATTAACTAAATAATTCTACGTCATAACTAGTATACAAAAAATGCACGTTCGACACAGCCCTTGAGCCACAATCAAATGTAAATCAGTTTTTAGTGTCCTCTGTAAACTTGGTCCCAATATTTGTATTCCTGTTCAACTTGCAGCATTTCTGTATTTGGTTGTGTTTTCTATACATGCAGCAATTGAGTGTCAGACGAGTGAAGACGTCTTCCTTGTTCCCTTGTGTTTTCCTTAGTTGTATTGTGTTGAGTCTCCAAGGTGACGTCTTCACATTGGTTGTTCTGTCTGATAAAAAGAAAGGGAATCCAACGCTATTAATTTTGCAGACATAATAAACAGTAGAAAGCTACAATATCCTCTCATGTCAGAGGCTTGTTGCATCAAATGTTTGGAGTTTTTTCTTAATAAAATGATCCTGACGATTAATTAAAGTGGACCTATCATGCTATTTTTAGGCAATAGCATAGGTCTCAGATATATAAAAATATATCAAAAACATGTCTATGAAGTGTTTTGCTCAAAATACCAAACAGATCTCCCATTCTAGCCATGCCTCATATCCCTCTATTTCAAAAGTGCTGATTTTGGGTTTAAAGCTTTAAAAAAAATTCAATTGATAAAAAATTTAAATTGATAACAAATAAAAAAGGAGGGGGCTGAGCTCATGCGGGACCGGCAGCTACTGTCTAAACTAAATACTGCGGTGATGAAACGCCATATCATGGATTATCAAGGATTATCTCTGAAACAGTATGGAGCTCAAAGGCTTTCTCTCTTGCCGGTTATACCACAAGGTGAGTTCCTTTTTATTTCCTGCTTCTTCACACACATGCTCTTTAGTACAGGTTAGCTCTAGCGATGCTAATGTAAACATGCACCGACCATATGTGACCTGCTCTATCGAAATCAGTCGCATTGACCCGAAGACACATTTTGAGTTGTATACACTGCTGGAAAGAGGAGATTCCTAGCTTTCTAATGATATCAGGATTGTTGTTGTACTCCAAATATTAAGCGAAATATGTCACATTATATAATGACTGTCACCGAGTCATCATTTTGAGAAAAAGGCCTTCAAAGTTTCCTCTTCTCTGGAATCCATCGATCTGATTGATTATTAGCGGAGCAAATGATCAAAATACTACGGAGGGAAGATATTTTCGTTTGGATTACTGGTCTGGGGGAAGCTCGCGAGTGTGTGTGTTTGTGTAATTTTGCGTTTGTGTGTATTGTGTTTGTTTCCCGGGGAAAACCCTCACGAGAAACACCGGCTGTTGTTATGCCTGCTGTGACGTTAAGTTACTCCGTTCTCCGCTTGTAATTATGCCGTTACAAGCTTCAGAGTTGTATTTATCATCTGAATTTGCCGAAACAAGTTTAATATTCTGAAAGCCAAGACTTTGTTTAATTTAAATCAGATGAAAACAAACTGTAACGGACCCTGCCGTGTTATCTATGATTACTATACTCTTACATTCATAATTTCAGCCGGAGGGAGGGGGGCGGCGCTGCGGAAGAGCAGATTGCGAGTGAGAGGTGCCTGTCATCTTCCCTTTACAAGCTTCAAAAATGTATTTATCGTGTGATTTTGGAAATAAAAGTTTCATATTCTGAAAGCCAAGACTTTGTTTATTTAAAATCAAAACAAAACACCCGAACCCCGAAAAAATAGTTTTTTACGCAAATCCACGTTTATTTTGAAATGAGCCGTAGCGACTTCCGACTGATTTCGATAGAGCGGGTCACATATTACATCCAAAACAGTCGGGCATTGTTTCCGATAGGGCCGTGGGTGTAAAGCCAGCCTACATTTCCGATATTACGTCATATCGGACGCAAATCTGGATCAACTCCGTTGTAGCCCCGTTTTTAGAGATTTGGGTACGGAGGAAAAGAGGGTTTTATTTTCTGATGCTGCGTGAGTTCCCTGACACACCGGGGACACATATTTATGTATAAAAGACATCAAAAAGTGCATTTTGCATGATAGGTCCCCTTTAAGTAAAACTAATGATCAACTTCTGGATCAACTCAAAACTGATAGAAAACCTGTCCAATCTTTTTTCTCGCACTGAATCTATAAATCCAAACAGATCTTGTAATGTACCATCTTTAAAAAGTTTAAAGCAGGTTGAAACCGCAACAAATTATTCAGGATTTGGTTTCCTCCTTTTGAAACCCTCCTATCCTAACCTCCACCGTGGCCTAATCCATGAATGCTCAGCAGTGATTACTGGTCAGTTAAAGCTGGAAACAAGAGCCCATCTAAAAACACACAGAGCAGGTTACCATACCAACAGCAGCATCTGAACACAGCAGATAGCTGGATTTGGCTGCGAGCGGCAGAGTCAAATCCCCTCGCTGATCTAAAAAAGGCTGGCAAGGACAATAAATACACACACACACACACACACACACACACACACACACACACACACACACACACACACACACACACACACACACACACACACACACACACACACACCGCCCACCCTACGTCCGACCCTCTGCTAGACACACACTGCCTGCCCTTTACCATCCAGCGCACCAGGCACAGGCAAGAAGGTCGGACTTGTATCTCTTTCTTCAAATGTTTGGGAAAGGGATGAGCATCAGCGAGACAATCAGCGTGCAGAGGCTATTCACTGATGCCACCCAGAGCTTTCACTCCTCTATCTGCTGGAAGAATGGCAGAATAGAAAATCCTCACCAATTTATTATTCATGGGGAGGGGATTTTCCTTTCAGGGCTCCTTTATCGGAGCCTTTCCCAACACGTCACTCTCTCTATCAGCCCTGACAAGTGCCAATCAAAGGGCTTGAGTCCAGGTTTTTGGGGAAACGCTGGAGGATTTCAGAGACAATAGCCAATGAGTCCACAGAGATGGTGGCTTAGAGACAATGGTGACATGGCTACACTGTCAGTGTGTGGTCCTCTGGGGGGGAAACGATCCTTGCTTAGTACACGACTAATCTCTGCTTGCACCATCTCTGTCTTTCTGGAGGCTAATCTGTCCCGTAGCTTCCTCAGCTTTCTGGAACAATCCTCCAGGGTCAGTTCAGATTAGTGCTCTTTGTGGCCCAGCACATCGCTACATTCATTTGGATGCTAACATCTTTAGTAGCAGCTGAATGCTAAACACTGGAGTGAAGGCAGAGTGACCTGGGCAGCGGGGAAACAGTCAAGAAACAATTATGAGGAGGGGGATTATTCTACCTATGAATTCCTGATGAGCAGAAACAGACAAAGGTCTAAACATGAGCCTCACTGGGGAACAGGAGCATCTCATCACAGCTGATATCCGGCTGTGCTTTAATCTCAGAATTGCTCGACAATTGACGATTTATTTAGAGACAGGTGGGCAATTCATTGAAATTGAAAAGCCATCAGAAAAAATTGTTAATCAGGATAAATAAAAAAATTAAATAAAATTGAATTGAATTTCCCCTTGTGTATTAATAGTCTGCCTTCTTCTTATTCTTCATCTTCTGACGTGCTGGTGATTTTAAACACTTTTCACCCTTTCAGACCATTGCACAAGGTTTTCTGTGGCTCTGGAGAAGCTTTACAAAATTTGAAGAAATGTGTTGTGAGTTTCCCCAAATTGCAATAATGAATCCAGAGTACCACTTTTAGTTTGCAATATTTCAGAGAGAGTGAAAAGAAAGACAAAAACGTTTTTTTGCACAAACAGTCCAAAAGGCGAAAAATACCAAAGCTGCATTTTACAATGTTGTTTAAACAACACTGACCCATCATAAAGTTGTTAATGGTGAACGTGTTAGCATAGAGTTGCTTTTTACACATCAAAACAGTAAGGCCTATTGTCTGAGCAGACAGTAAAATGCTCTCTAGGGCAATGTGGAATAAAGTTAGGAGGTTATTCTCTGTTGGCTTGTCACTCCAAGTGACCAATTTCAAATTATACATACTCATTTGATATATAACTAAAGGATAACTAAGGGATATATAACTAAAGGAAAGTACATTGTTGGTTGTTTTGCTTGATAAATAACCAAAACTTATGAACTGAACTTCAGCCATTTCAACATAAAAACAAAATTTTCAACCTAAAATCAATTATTGCAGATGCAAACAGCGTCTCAGTCCAATTTTCTCGACTCTCTCATACACATTGAGTCATGATGGGGTCATTCCCTCCATTACAAGGAAGCTCTATTCAAAGGTTGAACTGCTCGCACCTCCAGGGAAACCAAATCTCACCTTTCCCTACAAAGACATGCCACACACTGGGCATCTTTTAGAGACTGTGACCTCAGGCGTGACCCCTCCACGCCCTGCTGATGACCCCCCCCCCCCCCCCCTTCTGCCCCACATAGAGTGTGACCATGCCTTTGGCCTACCAAAGGTCAAAGCACACAAGCCATCACCATGATGCTCTGAGGGACATCTTTTTTCCCTAGTCAAGGTTTGCCTAATCCTTATGGGGCAGTTAAACAGGGAAAGCCATGTCGTAAAATGCGCAAGGAGCTGAAAAACGTTTTAAAGCTGCAGGGAATTGAAAACATTGTGTGCCATGACAATGGATGTACATTGTATTCAATTAACAAGCTGATAAATCAATCATTCTCTGTAATGAAGAAACTCTTCAAACATATAAAGCTCATTCCTAGTTGCAGGGATAACAGAGGTGTGGTCAACCAAGAAATAAAGTAACACATTGCACAGTATAGTAAAAAAGGTTTCTATTCATTTCAGGGCCCCAGACTAACTTAGGCTACCTGAATGTTTTTTAACAGGACGAGTAATCATTGCTACGACTAGTCAAGTGGTTTTGACCTTTAAATTGGTGGAGATCGTATTTCAGCAGCCATGAAAACTAATACTTCCCTGTGATGCAATGATGCAGTCACCCCTTAAGCTATACAGTATAAGGTTGCATCATTGTTCACCATCTACACAGACGTGCCAAGACACTGCATAATGCCTTCAAGTGTCTTTGATATTGTTTTAGAAATATCTGGATTGCTAGTTGAAAGTTTTGACCTTGAATTTAAATCTCTAATGGGCTCAAACAAACTGGTTAGTGGAAATGGTTTTCCAAACAGGTAAAAGTGTTTGTAGCTCTTTCTGAATTGCCAGGCTCAAAGGTGGGAAGTGAAGCCTGCTGTCGTAGAAAGGGGTGACACCCTAGGACCAGTACAAATAGAGATAACCGGGGAAACTCCCATGTTTCACTCGATTTTAAACATAAAATGGGACGAAAGTGGCTCAGTGAAGAAGAAAAAAGGGATCATATGAAAACAGCTTTCTTCCCTTCACACACCTGGTTGATTGCCTTATACATCGGGCATGTTTGATGGACTGGCAAATTTGAAAAGAATACAAAAAATGTACATTGACATCTGAGGTAGCTGGGAGCACCATGATGCCTTAAATCAGGATAATCACAACAGGATCATGTTGTCTCTTGTTTTAAAAATAGATGGATTGCCGCAACAGCCTGATCTAAAGTTCTACTCTTGGATTTATTTCATCACCAAAAATCCCTGAGTAATATAATAATTAACTTTAGCATCCTTGAAAGTTGACATAAGGAATATCGGAGTAGAAAGACAGACTGTGAGCCTGTCCTAAACGGTTAGCTGCTGCTTGGCCCTCAGACATATCAATCTTGGACATGATGGATGCGTTTGTAATATCCTCAAGGAACACAGCATAGCATGGACCATTAGTGATACAGCGCAATGACTGAAACTGGAGTGATTCACTAGCTGGACATGAAAAAAAAAGGGGTGTGATTTGAGTTTGACAGATGTGGTTTATGAAGACGGGAGAAAAAAGAGACAGCTATCAGCTAAAGCATGTGTGAAACTTTCGTGAAATGTACTTATTGTGGTTTGTTTAGGTTCTTAATAAATGTTTGGCCCAACTTAAAGTCAAATTTATATCATCATCATCATATTTGCTTTACTTCTATGATGGCATAGCAACCTTTCTTTGTATTTTTTTCAATTTAGGTAAAGCATGTCAATAAACTATATATTTCATGCCCTTGATGTGATTCTCAAGTCCTAGTGTGGCCTTGGGTTTGACACCCCTGAGCTAAAGGATGGCTCTCCACTTCCATGAGCTAGCAGTACGTCAGCAACATGTTTCCTGTGTTTGGCTGCCAGCTTTCCAGTGTTTGTGGTCCGTACAGTAAGCGCTGCCTCTGAACCATCATTCATGAATGTGCACAGGCGGGCCACACAGGTATAGGTGATACTGCGAGCCAGCTGGCCCTAGCAAGGATTAGCGGGCTTAAGTGTACCCGAGGCGAGGGAACGCCAAACACAGCGCTGACAGTGAGGAAACAATGGCTCCTCCAAAACTAGAGTTGACCGGGACTGAGTGGGCTTTTACCGGATCAGACGCTAATGGTGGAGAAGGGCTCTTGTATTGATTAACTATTGTTGCTAAAGGCTCTTAAGAGAGCTTTTTAACAGAGAGGCGATATTTCATAGCAGCACACACAGATCAAGAGAAAAACATTTCTAGATAGATTTAATGGATACAGTACCCGGAATGGAATTGCAGGGAGAATAGGTGGGTGTGGACATGTTGCATGATGGACTCTTATCTATGATCCATGATGATGGTGACCCAGAACCCCCGTCAGACCCATCCTGCAAGAAGACAGAAGAAACCTTTAGCAAGCGTTAAACCAAGATGGAAAAAAATAGCTTACATTTGCAAGTAATTACCATCGGTGTCCAATGTTCTGCAGATGCATTACAGGAATGCACAACACTAGTTTTTATTATGCACAAATTGACTTTTCGTAGAACATCGAGGGTATCGCCAAAAGAACATTACAAATATTCCTTACCCTTACCCAGAACCAGCAGCTCCTCCCACTCCCCAACTCAGACATGCCGCTGGTTTATCAGTTTCTCTTCTTTATAAATAATCCAGTGTGTTGATACTTGCTTCAGTGAGGTGCATTATGCAAATGTTGGTATGAATCCTGCTCTGAGCACTCCAGCCCGTCATTGTGGTTGGACATAATTGCAGGGGGCTTATGAGTCTCATTCATGATTTTCAGGGGCCCTCTCTCATTCGTCATAAAGGGGAGATTAATCGTAGATCACGTGGAGCACCTGCGTCCATTCCACCGCAGTGCAGCATGCACAAGCCCTGTTTACCCCCCTGACCCCTCACCCCTCAGCCCCTGTCTGATCCTGCTGCTGGAGCATCCTCTGAAAGAATCCCACCGCGCCGGGCATTGCGCCGAGTGAACCCCCCTGCAATGAGCTGGTGTAAAAGCCTGCCTGCTCCTGTACAGTCTCCCCCCCACCCAGCCCGTGACTGATTAACCACACACCTGCTGCACGCCGCATGCCCTCTGTTATATTGTGTCTCAATTATCAACAACAATTTGGCTCGCTTTACTGGAACGACAGTTATAAATGCATGCCAGTTAAAGTTCGTAAAAGGGGGTCTTTGTGTGGCAGGTTTGAGGTTATTGTGTGATAGGAGTTGATTATCCAAGGTCTAGTGTTTGCTCACGACAAGGAGCAGTCCTGCTTTTGGAGAAAATCTGATAGATGAACGGAGGAGGGGGGTAGAGAGTGAAAAGCGGTTTCACAAGGGGCAGCGGCACTCACCGATTTGTTTTCCTGGACTTTCCCTGCGGAGTCACACCTTTCAGAGATGCTGCCAGCTGTGAGGGGCCTCAGAACACCTGACAAAGGCACACAGGAGACAGCGTCAGGCTAAAAGGAGAGGAAGCAGTTCTGTGTGTTTGCAGTGGCGGAGGCAGGCAGGCGTGCTCCCGTGCATGTGTGTACATAAGTGTTAGCCCCCGGCGCACACCAAACCCCACTTATCTTTTGTACTTGAGAGTGTGCACAGATATGAGTAATGTCGTGTTTTAGTTCCAATTATGGTTTTAACCTCTGAGCAAATAATGGCAAAACACAGAGCCACAAAACCCTGGAGGAGCACCTGTCTACAGACGTGTGCCAGGTGCGAACATTGTTCCAGAGACACAGAGAGAAGGAAAGACAGGCTTCTAGAGAATTCAGACGGATTAAGTTGTAAACATTGGTGGCACTCGAATAAAACACAAAGTCACTATGGTTATCATATTTCCCTTTTGCAAAAAATAACATTTAATCATTGAGTTCTGGTGAAATCTAGCCGAGCAAATAGATTTATTTGTTTAGGTTTTGAGATATTTGGCAAAGAGATTTCTGCAGCAATGCCGATACAATGGAGCTAAATGGTATGCCAATGGTTTTGATGATAATCACATTTTTCATTGGTATCGGAGAGTTGCTACAGCTTTTTGTTTGCAGTTGGAAAGCTGTTTGGCCGTCTGAAAAAACATTACTTTTAGCATGGTAAAAGTCGTGATATTAAACGTTTGAAAGCACATCTCCAAAGAAAGAGACTTGAAAGCCAAGTGTTTACAGCGCCTGCAACATTACAGCAATGTCCTGGCTTCTATTGCAGTCTGAGGACATCTAGCGCAGAACATACTACTCGTCCCCCCCCCCCCCATTTAATGTATCTCTCTATGATACAATGAATGCAAACATTTGAGACAAGAAATTGTTTCTCAATTTTTAAACCGGGGGCTGGAACTGTTGCTCTTCGCAAATCATGATAATGTGCGGGCCAGTGGTGAACACAGATTAAAAAGTCTTAGATAAAATGACTTAGCCAATCTTCACAAAAATGTGTGATAAATCTCTGCGACAGATATGTTAAAACCTAGATAAATAAACCCTAAACTAAGGGTTTACTAACTAACTAATACCACTAAGTAAGAGATGTAATTTGGTTACACCGAACCTTTAAACGTCTACAGTTTTTATCTCATGTTATCAGACTATAAACGACAGGCGCTAGACTGAATCGCTTTTCCGCACACACTCGTCTCAGTTTCTTATCCTCTCTTATGTAAGCAGCGCTTGGTTCCAAGTGTCTCCGGCTATCTTGGTCGGGCTTTCCCGGTTAATGATCCACTTTTGCGGTTTGATCTTTATTAATATGGCACACCGTGATATCCCTATAAACCTTTCCTCTGAGCGGCCACACCTTCAGGTAGAGGCAGTTAAAGCTCACAGCGGCATGCCTGGGAGCAGATGAGAGGCGGTATCACGGATCGTTAAAAGAAAAGCCGCTCCACGCCATAAAGGTATCTCTTACTCTCAAGGCCGGCCTACAATGTTGGGTTTTTACACACACACACACACACACACACACACACACACACACACACACACACACACACACACACACACACACACACACACACACACACACACACACACACACACACACACACACACACACACACACCACACACACACACACACACACCACACACACACACACACACACACACACACACACACACACACACACACGGACACACACACACGGACACACAGACACACACACACACACACGGACACACACGGACACACAGACACACCTGTCTAACTACGCGTTGTTTTTAAGTTGGCGGTTTCTGCTTATCAAACGATCTCATTCAAACTGTCAGAAAGATTCGTCAGAGTTCAGTGAACTGAGATTGCCTGTCAGTGATGAAATAAAATATAAATAAAATCACAAATAATGATTTCACAAGAACACACATTTTAACTTTTAGACTGAATAACACATTTCAATAGTTAGAAAGAAAACTTCAATTGCTGACTAAGTTGATTTTGAGTGTGAACTTCCTCTTTTAGCCCCTGGCCTTAACACGCTGCTTGTAATAAGAATATATATATTATTTTACTGGATATATTAATCGTAAAACTTCTGTTTTAATTCATTTCCACGCTCAAATTGTTGTTTTTAGGGATAAATAACATTTATCTTATTGTGTTTTGGGTGAAGTTGTAGCTAGATTTGATCCTTTATTATGTTTTTAAAGGCTTTCATTTTTACAATATTATAAGTTTCTCTCAATCTCTCTATGCGTATTTCTCATGAAGAGCTGTACCTCCTGAAGCCAATCCCTGCTCATTTTCCATCCTGACATCGGACCAGTCCTGCCACAGTGAGAGCTCCTCTTCCTGAGGGAAGGGGCTCAGCAAGGTCTCGGGCTCCAGGCGGTCCAGGAGGAGCAGCTGGACCCGGGACAGGGAGCCCAGATTCCCCGAGTCACAGCCCACCGTCAGTGCCGCAAGGCCTGGAGAAAGCTCTGCAGGGGGGAGACAGCAGAGTCGGAAATACTGGAAAATATCCTCAGTGCTGCAGAACAAAGCAGAACAAATTGATTTGCCAGCTTGTCCTGGAGGTCCCGAGGATAAAATAAGTCCTTGAAGAATAGAAAATCCTGCATAAATGTCCCTCATATAATCAATTAGATTCAAAAAGTGTTATTGTCCACTACTATTCGCTGTATATAAAATAGGAACAAAGACGCGTTAAACAACAAATAATAGCAACATTCAAGGTTGCAAGTCAAACTGCAAAAATTCAAGAAGTCCAAAAATGATGGAATCATAGAATCAAAAGGCCATTAATGTGTTCAATTTGAATATATGTACAACCGTTGACCTTTACAAGCAAATAGCCACCATAAATTGAATAACTTGTTGAACTGGATTAGGAAATTACTGTACACAACACTGTGCTCCCTCCCCCCTAAAGTATCTCACCCCCATCGCCTCCCCTGTCCCCCCCAGGCTCCAAAGTTCTTCTCGTCACACCCAATTAAAACCGGATCAGTGACAGTGTGGCTCGCTGCCCATGCAAATCCCGGCCCACGCTGGCTGGGTGTGGAAATGCCTTTCCTCCGCGTGGGGATTTCACACAACACGCTCTGCTGCAGGTACCCCATGATACACACACACACACACACACACACACACACACACACACACACACACACACACACACACACACACACACACACACACACACACACACACACACACACACACACACACACACCACACACACACACACACACACACACACACACACAGAACGTTTTCAGTTTGTCTGTGGCATGCAACATGTCCACTCTGCTAGCTATTGTAATTTAGCTTTAAATATTTAGAGCGTACTAATGCAATATTCAAAACATAGAAAAACACACTATTTTTGTAATCGTTTAGTTAAAAATACCATTTGAATTAAATATTGTGGAGCTGAAGAGATATCCCGGCAACACATTGTAATCTACAGACTTAATACAAGATCTGATTCACACAGATCCATTCAAAAAGAATCACACCGTAATCATTTAAATATATTTTTCAATGTTAATTTGGATAAAATTAGAACCATTATCAATCCCCCCGTGAATCATACCGCAATTGCAATATCAGTCAAAAATAATCACAATACGTTTTGTTTTTTAAAATCCTGCAGAGCTGCACACACACACACACACACACACACACACACACACACACACACACACACACACACACACACACACACACACACACACACACACACACACACACACACACACACACACACACACACCCTCCAGTGAGGCTGTGTTCAGTTGGGCAGTCACACACAGATTGACGCTTGGTAAGGTGATCTCTCAGGTGAGAGAAAGGAACTGATAAATGAAGGAGTCGTTAAGAGGAAATCCCGGGGATAACTGCAGGTGTAACTTAATGTGGCGGCACACACTTTCAGTTAGGCCGGTGATTAGCCCATCATTAGCCAAAAGAAGCCACAAGATTGAAAGACACTTAACAAACACAGTGGCAGATAACGAATAACTAATCTTGTGATCGAGGTGTTGGACATACTGTTACCACCCACTCGGAGTCAGACAGGAAGTTACACTTGTAGTTCGAATGCTGTATACTTTGAAAAGATGCAACATGAGAAACATTTTTTAGTTTTCTTCTTGTATCTGAATCTTCCAATGAAGGCACTGTTTTTATTTCTCTCTCTGTGCTAAAGAACATATCTAGGATTAAAAGACTAATGTCACAGCAGGATTTGGAAAAACTTGTCCATGCTTTTATCTTCAGTAGACTGGACTACTGCAATGGTGTCTTCACAGGTCTCACTAAAAAATCTATTAGGAAGCTGCAGCTGATTCAGAACGCCGCTGCTCGAGTCCTCACTAACACTAAGAAAGTGGATCACATCACTCCTGTTCTGAAGTCTTGACACTGGCTTCCTGTGTGTCAAAGAATAGATTTCAAAATACTGCTGCTGGTTTATAAAGCACTGAATGGTTTAGGCCCAAAATACATTTCTGACCTCCTGCTAAATTATGAACCATCCAGATCTCTCAGGTCTTCAGGGACTGGTCAGCTTTCTGTCCCCAGAGTCAGAACTAAACATGGTAAAGCAGCGTTCAGTTATTATGCTCCAAATATCTGGAACAAACTCCCAGAAACCTGCAGGTCCGCTGCAACTCTGACTACTTTTAAATCCAGACTAAAGACTTTTCTTTTTGTCACTGCTTTTAATTTAACTATTCATATCTTAGACTGCACTGTAACTTTTATCCATGTACTTTTTCTTTTAATGTTTATTTTATTAGCTTTTCTTTTTAATGACTGATTTTAAATGCCATTTTCTTAATGTCTTTCATTTTTTGTAAAGCACTTTGAATTGCCTTGTGTTGAAAAGTGCTATATAAATAAACTTGCCTTGCCTTGCCTTGTGCTTCAGCAGCTTTAAACTAAATTGTCCTTTTCTGCAATCTAAAACGAGGCCTAGTCCCCTCCATCATGTTTTTGAGGATCAACTATTATTCTTCCAGTTTGTGACTGGCTGATAACATATCTGTATTTTTCAATAAAAATCCTGCTCAGTGGAGCTCTAAATCAGCCTTGTTCCATATAAATGCAAATAATTCTCTGATAACAATCAGTCTAGCATTAGCTTCCACTGGGAAGAGCATTTGGATTGATGTTATCGCCCTGTGGTTGCTACGGCAGCGGTCGCCCTGATCCCTCCACATCCTCGGGGCAAAGGTTGTCGGAGTCAGACGGAGGTTCGGGTCAAGCAAGCAGGTTAAACACCTTGTCAGGGATTAGCGGGCTATGAGGGAGGTGGAGGAGGTCTTCATTGGCTGATTTCTCTCTCGGCAGCTCACTGAACCACCTCCAGGACACACATACACACGCTATCTCTCAGAGGCATGCACACACACATTGCATTTACTCTGCTTTTGTTGGGCAACATGGGCCGACACAAAGAGCGGACACAGTGAGCGCTCAGATAAGCCCGTCCCCGTCTGTAACACGGCAGAAGTCAGAGGAAGAGGGCATGTCTAATTGAGACTTTACTGGGAGCCACAAAGAGATGGAAACAGCAACAAACAAACAGCAGAACATTAAGACATTGATTACATCACCATGTTGGCAGCTCAGACAATCAGTCGCTTTATGTTGTTTTTTTCACTTTTGTCAGAATAATTCATCTCCAGAAAGAAAAAAAGTCACTAGCTAACTTTTCGAGCTTTGATGTAATGTGCACAATATGTTTAATGATATATTTAAACAACAAAATAGAACATTTATAATGTTAATCTCATGATGAAGAGGTTTGAATTTCACGTTATGAACCTAAAAAAGCAATCAATTAATCAATGGATTTGATAAACGTATAATTTGTATATAATTGAATTGATATGGCAAACATCTCATCATTTGCTGGTATTCTCTGTATTGTCTCATTGTAAATTAAAAGCATTTTTAGGTTTGGAGTTTTGGTAAAAAAACTAAAACGCTTTTTTTTAGATGTTTCTTCTATGAAAGTGTTGTATTTTTTTTGTCAAAACCATTGATATAATAATGGAAAACAATACTAAGACTCCACTTAGCTGGCAATTTGTGAGGTGCTTTGAGCTTAACAGTAATGTCAGCAGGCTTTGTGCTCTCAATGACAACGGCAATAAACTGATGTTAAACAGGTATAGTGTTTACCATAAAAATCACCATAGCATCTTCGCAGGCTAACATTTGCTAATTAGGACTAAAAGACACAACTAACAAAAATACCACTGAGGCTGATGTCATTTGTTATAAACAGAAGTATTGGAAAATCTAAATCGTGTGTGTGTGTGTGTGTGTGTACCTGTGTTAGGTGAAGGGCTACAGGATGAGTCTGAGGGCAGGTCCAGAGACTGACAGGAAATGGACCGAGGGGCGATGGCCTCCAGTTCATCGAACGCATGAGACTGACTGCAGCTGAGCTCCGAGTAGCGAGACGCTGCTGAGCCACAGCGACCTGCACACAGTGGGAGGAATGAGTCATGATGATAAACACAAGAATGAGGGTTGGACGCAGCTTTAATGATACATGTGGACACAGCGGATTGTTTCATTAGGAAATAATAGGAAACAGCAAAAAGGTGCATGAATAATAAAATAACTGGGAGAAATGATCAGCACAAAGCAACAAGGGAAATTCAGGAAGTAATATTACATACTTTCTTATATAAGATAAATAGATGTATATGCTTCAAGGTTATCTTTTTCCTTTTTAATTAGTAAGATAGCAATAATACAAAAAAAAGATTCACTACACTTAATTCATAATCTCATTGCAAGATATTTTGAAAAATGAATGCATCAAATTGCTTTCCAACCCATCGTTATTTTTTCAGTAAATCTCAGGGATGTAGACTGGATTTGTTAGAAGAAGAGAGCTAAAGCAAATCTCCTGGAGGAGGTTTCCTGGTGCAGCTATCAGATTTTAAATCTGGGTTGCATGTTGTTGTGGGTTTAGTTAAAGCTGTCCCTTCCCGGTTTTACACTCTGACAAGTGGACACACAAGCCCAGGACCTCCATGAGTGCAGCCCCCAGGCCAGGTAAGTAGCACAGCGCTTTAGTCAGAGCTCACCTTCACGAAACACAAATTCTTCACCTAAACTCAAATTACCACTCAAAGGAATGCTAAAACTGTCAGGCTAATAAGTAATCACTTATCTCCTTTAAACCATCAAAACAAAAAACGTTTTGCCTGGTTTAGAAATCAGAGGATTAGTGAGAGAAACTGTTTCGCTGGGTGGTGTGTTTTGTATTTCTCCTGAAAGAGGCTTTTCTGGGCTTTTCTCACATTAGAAATGCACAACAGCTTGGCTCGGACAAAAGGATAATTTATACAGAGGCTCTAAATGAAAAAAGGCAAACTCAGCTCCTCGGTGTCTGCCCACATGGACAAGTTTAAATGTACACATGGAACCGCCCTCACGCAGTCAAGTATCTGAACAACGACACACACACCGCTGCACTATTGTGCACTTGAGCGGCTCGGTGCTCTACTCAGGGAGACAATGGCGGGACTTGACTTGACACTTCAAAGCATATTGCTGCTGTCAACTCAGCTGTCATTCTCAGCAGATGAGGAAGGCTGCACCAAGTCAGGGAGAGTTTTTTCGGGGAGGTTAAAGGTGGCGATGGGGGGGTCAGAGGGTTTGATATGACAGAGTTAAAGGCAGACAAGGCCTTCTCTGTGCCGGGGCCAAAAGGACCAGAGTGGGAGAGGAAAGGCCAGGCCAGGACAGGGCCCTGCTTCATTGTCAAGGACAGTTACACTCTGGAGATGTTGCTCAAAACAGGTCAGCTCAGGGTCACGCTGTACATTGTAGGGGGTCTGAAAAAACCATGATGAGGGTCAAAAAGGGCTGAGTGAGACGATGAGACTCCCATCAGCCATATACAGTATGTATTATCCAATTTGATCCTGCAGAAACTTCCTCATCTACTGCTTTTTTATAATTTTCCAGGGGTCTTTATTTCTAAGAAAATCAGTTCTTGGACACAAATATCCCTCTACAAATCTTCTTAAAAGATTTTGATTAAGAAGAACTTGGGCCTTAAAGGTCACCTATTATGCAGAATCCACTTTTTCATGTCTCTTCTACATAAACATGTGTCCCCTCTGTGTAAAGAGATTCTGAAGGTTTCAGGAAAAAATATTTGCTCACTTTTTGTCCTGATCCATTTATATAAAAACCTGTCTGAAAATGAGCTGATCAGATTTTGGCCACTTTATGATGTCATAACTATTTTTTGGCTTGTGTAACCATTGGCCAATCACCAACCAAGGTAACCCACCCCCATTATTTAAAAATAATAATAAAAGAAAAAGGTAGATTTTGTCAGCCTCATGACGGTATTGAGACGTTTATTTACCGCGATATCGCGATATTCGATATATCGTTACATCCCTAGTGGACTCCCTATAATCACTTATGGGCCACTAGAAGTGTTTGTCGTTTCCTGTATCCGCAAAGAGTTTGCCTTTGCCTTTTTTCTCTGTCTCGCTGTGTCGCTGTGTTCTGAAATCTCAGCCAATTTTAGTGAGTCATCATAATAATTACAAATGATTGGCAAAACCATGAAAATAGACCCAAGTTGTAGTGAACCAGAATCCTTTCAGCTTGACAAGCTGCTACATTGAGGCCACACTAAGCTGAGGTGCCTCCATCTGCAGGGAAATAAATGAACCAGTGACACTCGCACTGTGTGTGCTATGAAGAGAACAGCGTGCTTCGATACAGCACGGGCCCCCCCCGCAGTACAGCACCACACAGAGAACAGTAGATGTCTCGGATAGAAAAGAGAAAATCCCTACACAATTTCCACATTGTTTGCTGTCTTTCATAAAGTTCCAGGAGGAGTCAGATGTCAGTGGCCCCGTCCTTTATCCCTATTGGGAACGGTAAATTAGTGTCCGCAGGAAAGCTGCAGAGGTATTCTATTGTGGCGTCGCTCCGCAGTGTTCTGCCGTCAGCGAGTGTTGGTCAGTGTGGATTTATGACCATCGGCTACACGTCTCCCTCTCATAGCCCAGAGAATAGCGAGGGCACGGGGGAGCCGCGGCACACGAGGTAGGCACCCCGACTTCTATTGTTGGGGCCTCATGCCTTTGAACGGGGAATCAAACGGTACCAGCTTTTCATCAAAAGCCCTCCTTTCTATTGCTGATTTAGAAGAAAAAGAAAGGCTTTCTGCGTTATTTATTATGGGGTGGGAGGAGGTGGGAAAAACAGGCTGACAGCAATGCTTTCACAACGTATTGATGGGGGCAGGAGCATCATAACGCCTCACTATGGAAGCAGGCTTTGAATTCTCTGTGTCTGGCTCAGCCTCTTTGTCTGCGGGTGGATGTCCAGCCATGTTCAGTATAATCGGGCCCCTAAGAACATGGGCAGGAGGGTAGCGCCTGGCAGGGAGGAGGCTGTGAAAGAGCCATATGTGGCAGAGCTCATTTCTCACCTCTGACAGGGGAGATTGGAGGCAGGACAGGCCAGCGATTAGACTCGAGCAGAGATGGGGAGGGGGTCAGCTTTGGTCCTGACCCTGAGCGGGGGGTGGTCATCTGTGGACTCGGGCACGAAGACCAAGTAGCAGAGGGGAAAGTTAAGGGGACGAGGCCATGATCAGACTCCAAGGATGGGTGGAGAGCAGGATCTATAGAAGCATCTCGGTGAAGATTCTCTGCTTTTGCAGTTTCACGCCTGCTCAGAGGTTTATCTGACTGAGGACGGTCACCTGACTTTGGGCGAGGTGTTAGGGGTGTCGTATGGCCGAATAGAGGTTTATAGAGCGGAGGGGTGGTTGTAGTATTTGTGGATGATTGGCAAAGGTTGGATCCTGCTGGAGGGGGAGAAGCCAAAGGTGTCTTTATCCCTGGACGAGGATGGAGCGGCGGAGAGCAAAAGATCCCGTCTGAATCAGAGTCTCTGATATCTGCCCGGAAACCACAAAGGAACATTATTTAACAAAGCATTTTCAACCTGAAGTCACTAATGCAAGAATCATTTGGAAATATGCAGTCCTGATTATCAGTTCAGGGTCCAGTTTCACTTTACTTTCATCAGGCAAGCTGTGATTTGACATCATTTCCTGTCCTGATCATTTAGAAACATGTCACTAATCAAAACATACTTCAAATGCTACCTGTGCATAAGCATGCTATAGAGCCCTGTATGACGCAAAATAGTACAATAAATCATAAATGTTATTTTGTGAAATGGAGTCATTGAGTCATACCTGAAATTCATTTGAAATACAAAATGAAAAATAGAAGTGTTAAGATCCTGAAAAAATGTTTTTTTTTTCCTTATATTTACTTTATTTAACGTACTTTTGTTCTATTTATTGTATATGTGTATTTTGTAAATTGTGTAATTTTTAAATAGTTTTTATCTTTAATTTTTTTTTTATGCATGCTTCTTAGTTAACATTGAGCTGTTTGGCTCTTTTCTGCTGTAACAAATGTACATTTCCCCTCCGTGGGTTCTTCTAAAGGCTACAGAGGTTACAGCCAAAGTTAAAACGACTTCCACCAATAGGAGATTTACCAGACAGGAAGCTGCTCCTGCCACTGGCGAGGTTGGTGCTGCGGCTGAACATACTCGACGGTGGACGACTTAAATCTGAGAGAGACCCGTGTGAGGTTGTAGAAGCTGGAGGCGGGGAGAGTTCAGGTCCAGCAGGCCCAAGATGCAGCTTCCAGTCTGACTCCTCCACAGCAGGTTGTGGCGCTCTCTCCTCCTGCTGATGTTCATTTTGTTCTTCCTGAGAAAGAAGAGGGTAGGAGGGAGACGCTGGCACAGAGTTGGGCCTGCTCTCTTGTCTCTCAAAGTCAGGGTGAAGGTTGGTTTTGAGGGGAGTTGTTGGATTGATGGTGGATGATGGGGGAGTAGGAGGCAGTGGAAGAGAGGGAACAACAACAGAAGAGGGCCTTCCTGTAATCTGCACATGATTTCCTCTTCTGTCTGGATTAAGATGGAAGTAGCCTTTAAGGAAGACAAAAACATGAAAGATATGTATTATTTATTTCAGAGTACCTCTCTTATCCCAGAATATGAAAGCAATTTCTGTTAAATTGGAGCATCTTTGTTAATGTTATTTTTCGAATTTGTGGACCTGTTTTTCTTTGTATGTATTTCTGTGTAAATCAGATTACTATTTTCCTACCTTCGCTGGCCAATAACTTGTATTCTTTCCTACAAGGGATTTTGGTGTTTGACCCAGAGCATTATAAAAGCATGCCTCTTCTCGCTGTTCAACAAAGACGGATGTTGTGGATCAAGTTTCATGTCTGCTTGTGACACCCTCTTTCCTACTTTGCTCACTGCTGGAGTAAATGTTTGTTTCCTGCTGGGAGGGTCGGTCTGCTAACAATGGCAGCGAGATATCGCCCCCCTGGAGCAGCTGGCTGTTTCTAAACTGCATATCCACAACAGCAATCAGTCCTGAGGGCAGGGGAGTTTGTGTGCAGGTCAGGATATCATGTCCTTAACAGATGTCCTAAAACACTTTGGGAACAAGTTTGTGAGGAGTGTCAGTGAAGTAAAAACTGAATGAAACGGTATAAAATTGAATGCATGAGAGAATATAGAACAATTGTTTTTGTTTGATAAGTGACCTAATCAATGACTTGATTAATAATCTTGAGCGCTAAAGAGATAACTCATTTCTAAAGCCCTTGCACAACCTTCTCTGTTCTTAAAACAATAATTATCTCCCCTTCTCCAACTCCTCTTTCTTCTTCTGAACCTCTCCTTTCATCCCTCTAAGATTCTCTTCCACAAACATCAACTCCAACCAGCGCCGCCCATTTCCCCGCCGCCGCCTCCTCCATTCTTCCCCTTCTGCCTCTGCACACCCTTCCTTTCTCTCCCTTCCTACTTTTTTATTGACCACTGAGAGGGTGTATGTGTGATGGGGGGTTGGAGGGTGTCAGACAATCTGCTCTTGTTTCCTGGGGGCTGCCGCCAAGAGAAGTCAGCACAGGGGGATAAAGAGAACACATTGGAGAGCACATTTCTGCACTGCCTCCTCTTACAATGCGCTGCCATTCCCATCTGTTACACACACAAGTGTACGTGAATGGGTGTGTGTGCGTGTGCGTGTGTGTGTGTGTACATGTGTCAGAGTGCAAAGCCAAGGCGTAGGGCGCACCACGTTTCTTAAGGGAGCGGGTTTAAGGGCGATTGTGCGAGAGCCGACCACCATATGGCAGAATAATTAGTATTAGACCCTGGTGTTGAGAAATGCCCCCCCTCCTCTGCCATACACACACTCACACACACCCCAGCATGGTGAAAGCAGGGCCCTGCTGTGGGCTGAGGTGTGTGCCGGGAAGAAATGCCTTCACATCAGAGGCCGGGCTCTGAAAGGAGCGGCAGGTCTCCCCAGCCCCGGGCCTTTCACTCCCAGCAGCAGAGCACCAGGAGGGCGGCGCTGTGGGCACTTCCTTGCCAGAGAGGGAATTTGCACTTAACCAAACACAACCACAGAGAGAGATTAAGAGCTAACGACAAGCTTGGTGGCCTCTACCTCCACTGCTCCAAGAGAGGAAGAAAAGGCGAGAAAACTTGTTAATGAGCAGAGCTGGGGAGTCAAAGGAGGCAGAGCCCTCCTCCTGTTGTGGCTGTGATGGTGTGAAAGTAACAGGTGTTTGTTGATAAGCCTCACCATCCAGCGCTTGTGTCCGCGGGGCTGTAATGAGAATGTGTGTTTTCAGCTTCCTCCCCTGGGATGGAGGCGGTGGTCTGGACTTGGAACTCAGGAAACAAGGAGGTCTGAGGTCTGAGGGACCAGCTTTCATGTGAGACAGGAACCGAGGACACATTAAGGGACGATCATTCGGACGATCGTGGGCCTGGAAGAGAAGATTTAGAGAAGAAAATATTAAAATAAGTAGGCAAAAAAAACATTAACAAACCATTAAACTAATAAATATTTAAAACATTTAAAGAATACATTGAAAATACTACAACGTTAAAGTAAAAAAGGTAAATAAATAGCTCAAAGTAAAATATCATATTATCTGAAATACACATTACGGATAGATATCGTGTTTTTTAAATCTTTAAAACATAAAGATTATCCTCATTGAAATTGTATGTCCCTCTCATTGGACGTGAGAAAAAGAAAGCACACTTTTGACTAATTGTCAAAACTTTTAATATTTTTCCAAATTGAAGGATCTTGACACTTTGATTGTACTAACTTTGTTTTGGTGTGGAACATAAAATAAAAATATTTGCAGTATTTTTACAATACAAATTATTATTGTTCTCATATTTAACCAATTAAAACATTAATTCTGATCAAAAAAAAACGATCAATTCAAACTAAAAGTCCCTCTGAGACGCATCTGTGTTCCATGCTACTACAAAATAAAAGCCTGATGGAGAAACTCTGCTGCTGTTGGTGGAGAATTCAAATGATGCATGGTGCCACCACTGCCCCCTTGTGTCGTGAAAACAGATCACAGACACCTTTATTTTCTCAACACACACTACCTCTAGCTTTCTCCTATCACACCCACAACTGTCCTTCTTTTTTAAAGAAAGGAGGCATAAAATTATCTCAAGGGTGATAAAACTCTTTAGAGTACACTGTCGGGACAGGGGAGATAAAAGCATACAGGACGGTCAATATTAGAAATGTGGAGGAAAGGACGGCTGCCGGCAGCACGCCAGCCAGTGAAAATGAGTGGAGCGTACAGCATTCAGTCCCTCTGTGGCCTTTAGAGAGCAAACAGCAGTAATAAATGATGCACACTTTATTTGACTTGGATTTAGGCTTCATCCAAAACAAAGTTCAGCTCCTCACCCTTTTAACACACTATATAAACAAACAGAAAATGCACAGATACATCTGTCTGAATACAATGAGGAACCAGAGGGAGAGAGAAAAAGAGGGAGAGGAGAAGGGGAGAAATAAAGGGAGGAAGGTGGGGTCACTGTCTGTGACTCACACAGGGAGGATCAACTTTTAAATCCCTGCACCATCTCCACTGAGTCCCTTTCTCAGATCTGGAGGCTTTAAAGATTTGCATTCTTGTGATGTAAAGAAGGAGAAGTGAGGTAGAAACAGCCCGACATGAGCCTCTGATGGGGGCCCTTCTTCCTCCACCATCCTCTTCCTCCCCTCCTCATTACCTGTCACTCAGGCCATCAAAAGCCTGAGGAGAGCTTTGTGAGGATAGACTCGCCTGGTGTCATCAAACTAGCGACCTTCTGCAGAACAGGTCCGGGCACGAGTGCTTGACGTGTGTGTCTCATTACAACCTACGCAAAAAAGCTCTTTTAATGCATCCACACACGCAAACACTATGGCACATACAGCATAGGACAAAGCTGTGTGTCTCTTATCATATACGGTCACATTGATGAGTTTTTGTGCAAGATCAACCCATAATGATGATGGAAATGATGTTAACTATGGTGATTGCATTCCAGGGTTAGTGCACAATAACTGTATTTGTCTTTCGTACAAAAAATACAGATTTTAAATAATATTAGCTTGACATTACTAATGTTTAAATATTGATTTGTCTGGCGCGCTCACCTTTTGTTTTACACCAATATAAAGTTGTTTATCTAGTTAAACTTGTGTTTTGTTTACAAACTGCTGGTTTCTCTTGCTGTCTGACTTTGTAATAGCGATTTTGCTCCTGATAGATGGAAAAACTAAAAAGAAAAAGATGTCATAATGAACCAGAATAATACTTTAATATAGTGATATTACTTTCAATCATATCAGCCCTCTGTAGCGTTGCATTTCTGTGATTGATCAGATACAATGTCCATATGGAGAGGAAGAACAAGTTAAAAAACTAAGATATAGTGTATAGTGATAGTGCCTATCTCAAGACAAGGACTACTTGCTGAAGATAAATCAAACTTTGAGTGTTGTAAATTGTTTGTTGCCTCATTCATATTTTTACAGGATCTCGAGTCAAAACTACAATCAATTAAGACTACCTTGTAAAGGAAAAAATGTGCAGCACTACTCCTTAAACTGAAAAAGTTTGACATGGCACCAGGCATGAAGAGTAACATATAACAGGAGTACAGAATGAGGATAGAAAAAGAAGGGAACTGTAGTCTCTTTAATTTAAAGAAAAAATATGTAATCAGATTACTTTAAAAAAATGAAGAAAAGGGGATTCTTAGCAGTATTACAATGTAACAATACATTTGAGGTAATCCAAAAGTGAGTGAAAGTACTCATTTAGTGGGAATGCGGACACAGCATTCCCACTACCTGTTATGCTACGCACGAAATTCTTTATTATTCCGCCAGGTTATTTTGCGCCACTTCTTCTCCCACATTGAACATCGCAGAAACTCCGTTCAAACATCAAAACGTTCAGCTCGGTCGGAAATCCATGGCTATTACTTTTATCATTCATAACTTTCATAATTCCAGAGATACATCCCATAATTCATCACATTTTTAACATGGAAGTGAATGGAGAACTTCTTCAGACTTCAACAATCTTCATGCAACTTCAACTGCTAACTGCTCCTTCTTCAACTGCTAACTGCTCCTTCATACTTTCACTCAGAAACCTCATTCCAACTTTAAAATGTTACACATTTTTCTGACATTATTCGTGTAACACAACTTTTAAATCTGATTCGTACTTTTAGAGATATTAAACATTGTACAGACCTTGGTAAAGAGGCCTTCTTCAGATTTTAGAGTGCGTGATGTCACAGAGTGGAGGACAGATTTAATTTTGCCTTCATATTTTCTTTTAAACCTGCCATAATTCCCAAATCCTACATTCCTGAGATATAATTTTTAAAAACAAACGTAGGAAAATATCTCGTAGCTTGAAAGATAAAAAAAAATCAAGCAAAAAAATTAAACAAAATGCCTGTTGAGGGCATGAGGTGACAAAAACTTTCAACATGTCTCCATTAAACCCCATTGTAAATTCAGCCTCACCTTTATCCACCACAGCAGCCGCACACCTTTAGTTAATCTGCCAAAAAGGCCACATTATTAACCCGAAAGTACACAAAAAGTACACTTCAGATGCTCAAGTTTCTTGACATGCTTCATGCTTTGAAATGTCACCGATATCTGTTACGGTTCTTCAACAAAACGTTCACATGTAAGAGCTTTATCTCTCATTCAGAACAATGAAAATGCTCTCCTCTCACTGATCACCATGGAAACCTTTGATCTCTGGACACGTCGTTAGCTCAAATATAAACACCTGTGTCATGGAACACGATGATGTCATAACTCCAACTGACATACTCAGAGCAGCAGACTTCAGATAATGGTTAATGGTCCTGCCCTCAACAGCTCTACGTCAATTATGGGGTGTCATCATATGCCGTTTCCATGGAAACGCATCCCTCGCCATAAAACACGATGTCGCTGTAACTCCAATGGACACGGTCCGATCGCCCCCCAAACTTCGCTTGTATATCACCGGTCCATACCTCAACAGCTTTACGCCAAATCTGGGATCTCACCATAGGCTGTTGCCATGGAAACGCATCCCTCGCCATAAAACACGATGTCGCTGTAGCTCCAATGGACACGGTCCGGTCGTCCCACAATCTTCACCTGTATATCACCTCTCCATGCCTCAACAGCTCTACGTCAAATCTGACATCTCACCATATGCCGTTTCCAGGGAAACGCATCCCTCGCCATAAAACACGATGTTGCCGTGAAGATATCTACAGGACAGTTTTGAGATTTCTTCAAATGCCGTTGCCATGGCAACACAATGCTCGCCATGAAACACGGTTTTCTCATAACTTCAGTGAAAATGCTCCAAACGGCCCAAAACTTCACAGGTTTGGTAACGATGCAGCCATCAACGCATCTAAGCGTATTATGGGATGTCATCAAATGCCGTTGGCATGGCGACAGATCATTCGCCATCAAGTTAGTTCAAAAGTTTGCAGTTCAAATATTCTGCTGCTTTTCCAAGCCTTTTTACTTTCTTTTCTTCTCTTATCACACATTCAAGCCCCCAGTGTTCATGTATCGTTTCAATCTAAATTCTTCACTTTCTTCTTACACATTACATTTCAGCATAGCAGTTTAGCATCAGCTTTTCAGCATAAAGCATTCCCACTAGCAATTTCTTCAGGAATTGCATTCTCTAGTTAATGATGTGATACTTAGATAAGGTTACTGATTAGTACTCCTCCAACCCTGCATGGCATGGAGTAAGGCCTTTCCATCACAGACTGAGGTAATGGTAGTTTCTGCACACACCCATCAAACTCGTGTGGGCTCCTCGGGGCCCCTGCAGACCCCCAGGAAGCAGGCTGACCTCCTGGCGTCAGGCAACCCACACGCTGTCCTCACACAGCCAGAACTGCCTAATGTCATTACGGGCCTGTTTGTGGTCAACAGCTCCCTGATTGAGATGTACAAGAAGCCTCCATGAATGTAGGAAGTCTATTAGTTAGTCAGAGTCCCAGATGGCCAACAGAGGACAGACTTGCGTGTGCTCCTTCACCCCCCCCTCACCTCTGAACACACACACATATACATAACACACATGCACACACACACAGAGTTAATTACACTGGCTCGGAGCGAACCCTCTGACAGGCAGAGACAGAAGTGTGTCTATGTCCCAGTGTCTGCAGGAACAGAGAATTCTTCACAGAGCTGATGCACAAGAAAGCCAGGCTTAGGCTCTAACAAGGTTAAACCCCTGAAAAAGAGTGACTTTTTAAATCATGGAGATTTGTGTTTCTGCGGGGTGTAATTAGCTTTGCCGCGGGGGAGGAGGGAGGGTGGTTGAGGGGTCGGGATGCTGGCGAGGGGGCCGGCGAGAGGCGAGCAGGGGCCGACGACAGTGAGGTGCATTGTGGAGTCCGGCGGATTCAGGGGAGTAAATCTGATTATCAGCTCGTGTCAGAAGCCAGGCTCAGATACAGCTTAACATTCAGAGCAACTTTCTACTTTCGATGGTGAGACAATGACCCCCCTTCACAGGCCCCAGAGGGCCCGGCGACTTTTCCCCTGAAGCCCCCACATCCTGAAACAACACAACACAGAACAGGATGACATGACTCTAATACAGCATTTCCTATAGGGGTGGAAGAAATATCAAGATACTTTTCTTAAAGGGAGCCGATTTTAAACATCAAAGTCTGTTTTCAGATGTTGGGGAGTACTGATGCTCATGTAACATTACATAAGCCTATTGTGGATTTATAGGAAGATTTATAGGAAGCTGGTCCACTGTCAACCAATCTATATTACTACTTTTTAGAGAAGTTAACTTCAACCTCTTATTGAGACTAGCAGCTCAAGACTACATTAGTTGATATTAGAATAACACACCAAATCTTTTTAACCGAATTGTTGGGCATTGTTTTGGTGGTTTTGTGGGTAATTTAGAGGCACCAGGACTTTAAAAGAAGAATGCATGTAAACAACTGTAAAGCCAATCAGGGAGGGCAGACCTCCAGTAAGGCCTAATTCCATATTTCACAATGTTACCAAAACTGAAAACTACTCTCCTTATCCGTCCTGTGTTTAGGATCTGCTTTAAGGGATTGATTTTCTAATGGGGTGTTGCTTGACTCATGCTAAACCCTATTTCCATGTTTAATGAAAATCAGGCTAGTCTTTTTTCCTGTAATCTTACTTAAAATCAAACATATAAAGAAAAAAAATAGCCTTCACAGTGGCTGTGAAAAAACGAAATCTCTCCCAAGTTTCATCATTTTTAAAACCGTCCACCCCGTTTGTCATGATGCATGATAAACCTGTGTTGAAAAGTCTGATAAATACTACGCTGTTTATCGCTAAGGATTTTCAGACTACAGACAAGTATGTAGAGTGATGACTCAATTTCCAAGAAAACATTAATGTAACCATAAAACCTTAGTTGAACTCCTGGTGTCAAAAGAGCATATATTAAGTCTTATGTTGCAGCTCTGTATCTTGTTTGGGCACCTGTGCATTCTGTCCTGCACCGTCCCATTGCAGCTTGTGTCCCGGGTGACCGTACAGGATCTTTGACGCCTATATAACGCAGGTTGCTGGGTCAACAGCCTCTTGTCGGCTGTCTGTCTGTTTAGACAGGGAACCTCTTGCTGTAAAAGCTGTGTTGCTGTATGACGGGAGCAGTTTCCCCATCACAATGCCCCCCTGATTTATGAGATATAGCAGGAGATCCAGAGATAGCAGAGGGTGATGCCAGGCCCGATGAACTTGCTGAATGCAGAAGTGCTGAAGGCAGTTGAGGATGTAAATGAGGCTGTAAGGACCAGCCAGCGTCTTTGTCTAGCGACTTTACTTGTTTGTTTAACCAGAGGCCAAGACAGGAAGCCAGCCCACACAACTCTGCTGTCCCCATGACAACCCCACTGTTAATTGTGGCACATCCACTCCCAGAGTCTTTTCAGCGAAGGAGAGAGGTGGGGACTTTTGAGTGTTGGAGGAGAGAAAGAAGAAGAGTGTGTGAGTGTGTGTGTGTGTGTGTGTGTGTGTGTGTGTGTGTGTGTGTGTGTGTGTGTGTGTGTGTGTGTGTGTGTGTGTGTGTGTGTGTGTGTGTGTGTGTGTGTGTTTCTTTTCACTTGTTAGAGTGAAGGCAGTGAAAGAATATTCAGATTTAGTTTTATTTTGGTATCTTTCCTGAGATGTTGCTGGATTCAGCTTATTAAATGTGAGGATTTGCAGTTTTTTTCTGTTTTAAAATTCGAAACCTTTTGACTGAGTGTTGGTCAAAAAACAAAGCACTTTCCAAATGTCACCATGACTTCTGGGGCCAATTTTTACTATCATTTAACGATTTTTAAATCTTAAAGTGTAATAAATATGAGACTAATTTATCAACAGTCAAATGAATCCTGTAAACCCTACAACTGCCGTCACAAATTGCACATATCAATCCATAAAAGTGAACCAGACTTGTTAAACATAAATGAAGTAGTGTCATTATTCTGTTTACTATATCAGTGTGATGTACAGCACACTATAACAAACCAATTTAGAACAGGGTTATTTGTTTAGTGTTATTTTGGCATGAGTATTATGGATTTAACCCTTTTACATTTAAGTTGTGAAAAGATCTCCCCCTCCAACAGCTGCCTCAGGGCCTTTAAACAGTTCACTGTCCAGGTAATCATCCTCTGTTATATTGTGCAGTGTAACATCCCCTACATTGGAACCTATGTTTTTTTTTAATCCCACCACCATTGCTAACTTTGCTTTGTTTTCTTTAGCTGATTTCCAGCAGCAGGACTTCAAATTTGTTGGGAAAGTGTTTGTGCTCACATAGGTTGTTTATGAAAATGAACAAGTATCACGAATGCAGACACAGAAATGGTGATATTCATTAAAAACATGTTTTATAATAAATTTGTGGATATGAATAGGCATATCATTTAGCCTTAGAAAAAGGTCAGACCATTTTATAAAAGGAACATAAAAAGGCCTTCTTGTTATTAACTTAAAATCGTTTGTTGGCACTCACAGTGTAGTGACAGAGTCCTCTATCCCACAAGATGGCCTTGTTGACAAAAGACACGTATTTGGGGCTCTGCAAGAAAAGGAGAAAGATTAAGCCAAATTAATAACATTTAGAAAGAGGGGGCAGGTACATGTTTATTTAAGAAATAAAAAGCAGATTTGTCAGAGCCAGATTGAGATTGATCTATCAAAGGAGTTCAGAAAATGAACTGCCTTGAGTAGCTCAATCTCCTGTTCCGTGGGGCTGAGAACAATGCCTGAAGCCTGGCAAAACAAATGCAAAGCCACACAGTGAGAGTCTCTTCAGAGACATTTAAGCCCCCACCAGTGCATTATTAACCCCTCTGTCTTGCTTATTGAGCTGCTGTGAAACTCTTCCAGTGGTTTGAGCAGCAGAAGTCTGGATGGTGAAGTCCGCTCTCAAACATCTGCTCGGTTAACAAAACGCCTGCTCTTCATTTATTTTCCTTCTTTTGAGCATGTAGCTGCCTTGGGACAGTATGGTGGTTTAATGGGGAGGGTGCATCAGATTGACCCGTGGAGCAAGGGGCAGTGTGTTAACTCATCAATCACTGGAGACACATCACAAGCCGATGCCCAGCAGTCAGCAGAGCGGCTCATCCATCTCTCTCTGCAGCTCCCAGAAGCCCAGAGTCAGCACCAGAGTCGAGCCACTGCAGGGAGCAGGAGAGCAGATCCTCCCAGGGCTCACCCTTCTTTCATGGGCTGTAACCCCAGACCAGAGTGGGTGACAGGGGCGAGAGGGGCTGCCAGGGTGGGAGGACAATGGAGCTTGATGTGTGTATACATGTGTGGGTTTCCCTTTCCTTTGGAGTGCACTGGTGTGGAGCTCTCTGCCAGCTTGTGCCAGACTCTCAAACCCTTTCAGTGGCCCGGTGAGAAGCTAGAGGGCAGCGTCGGATCTGGCCATCTCTTCACCTTTGTCTCTCAGCTTTATTTAGTCCGTACCTGTTGTATTTAACAAAGCCCATCACATGTGATTATGCACATTATGCCAGAAATACTTCGCAGGCTCTCCACCCTTCTTAATTGATGCCGAATAATGAAAAGCAGCCAATTTCCCAGCAAATCACGGGTGCTTGGTGCCCAATGACCTTGTTGGTACTAATTATATGCTGAATGTTAAATCAAGTACATTTTGAGACAGTAAAGGATAAAGTGGCTGGGGGTGGGGTTGGCCTGCGACCACAATATAGAGAAATGATGTGAAAAGAAACATGAATAGGGCAAAGCAATGAAAGCAGAATCTAAGTCAATAAGGAAATGAATGTAAAGTATTTTGGCAAATGAAAAACAGATGTGAAAGAAAAAACTAGAGGTTGCAAAACCCTTAACACTTATTTTAAAGGATTTATGTATGTTTAAAGTGTGACATTTTCACTGTTTAGGGCCCGACCAAAGCTCCAGCTCTTGTATTTTTACAAATTGTACAGCAACCTGTAACTGAAATGTGCTTCATCAATAACAATGACCTTATTACTACTTAAATGTGATTTCTACTGTAAATTCCATCAAAACTACTAAATGGAACTTAATCTTTACATCTAAAGCAGGGGTGGCAAACATACGGCCCGCGGGCCGGATCCGGCCCGGGAGGCATTCCAGCTTGGCCCAAGGAGCTGAAGGATTTTGCTAAGTAGGCTACTGTATGAGAGGAGGGAAAAAAAACTGCTATTTTGAATCCTTCCACTAGTGGGCGCACTACCGCACCGGTACCAGTGAGAGCGCAGCCAGACTGTAAAAAAAGTGATGAGTAAGAGTAGTGATTGCAGTCAATAACCTCTGACACTCTCATCCCCAAATGTCTCTATCAAAAAAGAGAAAAGTGGACACGGAGTGCCGAGTTTTCCAAGAAAAATGGACCGCATCCTATTTTTTTACAGAGGTAAATGGAAAACCTGTATGCTTGGTGTGTTCGCAGCAAGTTGCTGTGCCCAAAGAATATAATATTCGCCGCCATTATGAGACTCACCATGGAGAGAAATACGACTGCTTGCAAGGACAACGGAGAAAAGAAAAGATAAATGACCTGCTATCAGGTCTAAAGAAACAACAGGCCGTTTTTACCCGGAGCCGAGATATAAGTGACGCAGCCGTGAAAGCCAGCTATCTCATTGCTAACGAAATAGCATCAGCCTCAAAGCCATACTCTGAGGGTGAGTTTGTGAAAACATGCATGCTGAAGGCTGCAGAAATCGTGTGTCCTGAGAAGCGACAGGCTTTTTCCAACATTAGTCTAACGAGGAATACAGTGAAGGATAGGATTGCCGATCTTTCAGCAGATTTGGATAGCCAGAAAAAAAATAAAAGTCAAGTCATTCGTAGCATTTTCAGTTGCAATCGATGAGAGCACTGACATTACAGATGTTGCTCAACTGGCCATATTCATTCGTGGTGTAGATGAGACTTTGACGGTCACCGAAGAGTTCCTTGAGTTGGTTCCTATGACAGACACCACTAAAGCGGATGACATTTTTAGCGCTCTCGTTGAAGCACTGGACAGGGTCGGAGTGGACTGGACCCGTGCTGTCAGTCTGGCTACAGACGGCGCACCATCAATGATCGGGAAAAAAGCAGGTGTTGCCACGAAATTCAGGGAGAAAGTACAAGCAGCAAATGGAGGAGATCGTTTTTGGACATTCCACTGTATTTTGCACCAGGAGGCATTGTGTTGCAAGACGTTAAAAATGGATCACGTCATGAAAGTGGTTGTCCAAACTGTTAATTTCATCCGAGCCAGAGGGCTGAATCACCGTCAGTTCGACAGCCTCCTCAGTGATAAAGACATCACCTGTAGCCTACCATATCACACTGAAGTAAGGTGGTTGAGCCGAGGTGCCGTGCTGAAGCGTTTTTCTGATCTACGCGAGGAAATTGGACAGTTCATGGAGAAAAAGGGTAAGCCAGTGCATGAATTAAAAAACCCAGAATGGCTGCAGGACCTTGCATTTATGGTGGATATTTCAGAGCACTTGAATAATCTGAATATAATGATGCAAGGTCGCAAAAAAGTTGTCACAGAATATTATGACAGCATACGCGCATTTAAGTTGAAGCTGGCTTTGTGGGAGACACAGCTGTCAAGTGGTGACCCTGCTCATTTCCCTCATCTAAGAAATGTGCATATGACCGGAGTTACTGCTGACATGAGTCGGTACAAAGACAACATTACGGAATTGCTGCGGGAGTTTGAGCGGCGGTTTCAGGTCTTTGGTGAGCTTGAGACAGAGTTTGCAGTGTTTCGCTCGCCATTTGCAGTTAAGGCTGCGGATCTGCCCGTCGACATACAACTTGAGATAATCGACTTACAATGTGATCAGGATTTAAAGGACAAATTTGCCTCATCGGACTTGGGCACATTTTATCGGTATCTTTTGCCAGGATACCCCAAATTGACAGCCCTGGCAGCAAAAGTTTTGAGCATGTTTGGGACCACCTACCTTTGTGAACAGGTTTTCTCTGTAATGAACATTACTAAAACAAAGCTGCGCTCAAGACTCACACACAAGTGCCTGAATGAACTCATTAAATTGGCTGCTAGTCAGGATTTTAAGCCTGATATTGATGCCATTGTGAGGGCTAAAAGATGTCAAGTTTCAGGAGCAAATTAATCAGTGACGTGAAAATAAGAACCTACTGAAATATTTGAACATGTTATATTATTATGTCATAGAACATTGTGTATTATAATGTCAATCAGCAGCTGCATTAGGCAAACAATAGTTTGATTTGATGTGGCACTGCCCAACTTCTTTTTAAAATATAGAAATGTTATATCTTCAAGGCAAGGGGGGTAACTCAAACTCCTCACTTAATAGCTCCCACGTTTTTATTTGTATTTTGTGGTGAGTCAGTTCAGGTGGAAACTGTGATCTGTTGTAAAGAACATATGTGTAGCACTTGAAATTGCACTTGTTTTTTCTTAATAAATGTCAGGTTGTTCATAACGTTTTGCGTCTCATTACATGTGGACATTTTCCGAATGTACTTGTAGCCTACTTATTTGCACTTAAACAGAAATATTGTCGTTATAGGGCCTGTGGGTTATTATGCTATGATTTTACTGGTCCGGCCCACTTTAGATCAAAGTGGGCAGTATGTGGCCCCTTAACTGAAATGAGTTTGCCACCCCTGATCTAAAGTATAGTATGATTATTTAAGTAATTTGATGACAATAAAGAATAAAACTACATTCAAAATAACATCCATAGCAGAGCTAGCGATAAACGATAAAATTGTTACTCTTAGAAACAAAATTAATGACCTCTTGCCTTTGACCAGTATAGTGTTATCAACAGCTCCTGGAAACGTAAGTTCTAATATTACACTAGATAGTAAACTAGAATGCTTTTCAGCCATAAACCTTGAACAATTCAATTAAATGATTCTCTCTTCTAAACCATCAACGTGTATGTTAGACCCAATTCCAACTAAGCTGTTGAAGGTAGTTTTTCCATTAATTAGCACTTTTTTATTAAATATTATGAATATGTCTTTATTATCAGGATATGTTCCACAATCATTCAAAGTAGCAGTGATAAAACCGCTTCTTAAAAAGCACAACCTCGATCCAGAGGTTTTAGCCAACTATAGACCTATTTCTAATCTTCCGTTCCTCTCAAAAATTCTTGAGAAAGCGGTCGCAAAACAGTTGTGTGATTACTTAAAAAACAATGATTTATTTATTTTCAGTCTGGCTTTAGAACACATCATAGCACAGAGACAGCTCTGGTTAAAGTCACAAATGACATTCTAATAGCCTCTGACAAGGGACTTGTCTCTATTCTTGTTTTGCTCGATCTCAGTGCTGCATTTGATACTATCGATCATGATATCTTATTGCAAAGACTAGAGCACTTAGTTGGCATACAGGGAACTGCTTTAGGCTGGTTTAGGTCCTATCTATCTGAACGCTCTCAGTTTGTACGTGTCAACGATGAATCTTCCACGCAAACCAAAGTTAGCCATGGAGTGCCACAGGGCTCAGTGCTCGGACCTATTTTGTTCACATTATATATGCTTCCACTAGGCAATATTATAAGGAATCATTCTGTAAATTGTCATTGTTATGCGGATGATACTCAACTATATTTATCAATCAAGCCTGATGAAATTAATCATCTAAATAAAATTCAAGACTGCCTCAAGGACTTAAAAACGTGGATGACCTTAAAAATGTTTATGTTAAACACGACCAAAACTGAAGTTATTGTACTTGGCCCGAAGAATCTACGAAACAAATTATCTAAAGATATACTAACTATGGATGGCATTAATTTGGCCTCCAGTGAGACTGTAAGGAATCTTGGTGTTATATTTGATCAGGATTTATCCTTTAACGCCCACATAAAATCAATTTCAAGGACCGCCTACTTCCATCTACGTAACATTGCAAAAATCAGGCATATCTTGCCTCAAAACGATGCAGAGAAACTAGTCCATGCATTTGTTACTTCAAGGCTGGATTATTGTAACTCGTTATTATCAGGGTGTACCAAGAAGTCAGTCAAGTCGCTTCAGCTGATTCAAAATGCTGCAGCTCGTGTACTAACCAGAGTTAGGAAAAGGGACCACATTACTCCTGTTCTGGCTGCCTTACACTGGCTCCCTATAGAACACAGGATAGAATTTAAAATTCTTCTTCTCGCCTACAAAGCCCTTAATGGGCAGGCGCCATCTTACCTTAAAGAACTCATTATACCCTACTGTCCTACTAGGGCATTGCGTTCCAAGAATGCAGGGTTGTTGGTTGTTCCTAGAGTCTCTAAAAGTACAATGGGAGCCAGAGCCTTTTCTTATCAAGCTCCACATTTGTGGAATCAGCTTCCAGTTTGTGTTCGGGCGGCAGACACCCTATCCGTTTTTAAGACCTTCCTTTTTGATAAAGCTTATAGTTAGGGCTGATTAGATTCAGCCCCTAGTTTTGCTGATATAGGCTTAGTTTGTCGGGGGACATCTTACTTCTTCCTTCTCTCTGTCTATACCTGTGTACTCTCATGTTCCGATTAACCCAGCTTCCCCAAATTTCTTTCTTTTTGGTGTCTACGCTGGGATCTGGAGTCATGGATGATCCTGCGGTCCTGTGTCCTGCATTGCGAGCCCTGGATCTTGAGTCGTGGCTGTGGTCCTGGATCATAGGTCCTGGATGGATATCCTTGTGGATTCATCTTCCTATTATACACACATGCATTTCCAAACATTTGGACTACCTATGTTGCAAATGTATTATCTTTTCAATTTACACACGGCATCTATTGCACATCTGTCCGTCCTGGGAGAGGGATCCCTCCTCTGTTGCTCTCCCTGAGGTTTCCCCCATGTTCCCCTTTAAACTGTGGGTTTTCTCCGGAAGTTTTTCCTTGTACGATGTGAGGGTCTAAGGACAGAGGGTGTCGTATTGTCATACTGATATTCTGTACAAACTGTGAAGACCACTGAGACAAATGTAACATTTGTGATATTGGGCTATATAAATAAACATTGATTGATTGATTGAGCTAGCGTTTTATCAGCTCTAATGAAAAAGCATTACTCAATGGTCTCCTCTGCCTTTGATGTCATCGTTTGACCCATCAGCGCCAATACACCACATAATCCCATATAGGGTTTGTCTAAAGTGATTGCTGCTCCTCTTTTCCTTGTTCAATTAAGATAATGAGATTAGGGAGATTCCTAGCAGATGGGATGTCCGCTGTGCATGTGTCTATGACGTGCTTTTCTCTTTTTTTCCATTAAAACTCCACCTCAAGGTACTTCCTGTCAGATCCATTGAGCACAGAGCAGCGTGGGACTGACAGGAAGTGATGTGGTGCCGGTCTGAGCCAGCAGGGGGAAATATGGACAAATATGGTGGGTCTTATCAATAATGAGTAGGTGGAGCAGGCTAGATCAAATTACCAATTTAGACCTAATCACCAAAGTGGTGACTGGTCTTTGCTTTATCCCCTCTCCCACTCTGCTTTCTCCTCTCTCCGGCAATTCCTGTCGCCATCTGTCTGTCTTTCTCATGGGAGCCCTTCCTTCTCTGCTGAGCACTACACTGGATGTTTTATTAATTCTGTTTCACCTGATTACACCCTGTCTGGGAGTCAGGGCACATTAATAGGCATTTAATCAACGTTTAATTACAGGAGCAGGCATTGAACAAAGGGCCGCAGATCAGAGCTGCATCCTGTTGAGGTCAGCCCCAAAGACTCACTAACACATGTAATATAGGCGTAGTAAGAAACAAACAAGGTGCCATAACAGGGTCAGCATTTCACGGATATACCTGTGTGTAACACTGTCATTTATTAAAGGATTTCCCCTTTTTGAGCCCTGCAATTAAGCTGGAAACTTTTATAAAAATTACTTTCAGTCCTACAGTATTTGCTGAAACTGTCACTATATGATGACAGGAGTGCGTGAGAAAAATAATCGGACAAAAAAAATGTTTGGCTGGCAATGAGAACATTTGTGAACCAGCCGCCATTTTGAAAACAGTTCAGCCTAAACCAAGCACCGGCAACTGAGATAAGCCATTTTTTTTTACTTTACAGCTTAGCAATTTGTTAAAATTGGTTGCAATCAAGAAACCACATTTTGATTCCTTTTGACTAATTGTATTAGCTGTAAAGTGTCTCTACTGTAGGCTATTTTTATTATATGTACAGCACTTTGGCTCGACCAAAAATCGTTTATAAATGTGCTATATAAATAAAACTTGATTTGATTTGATTTGAGCGTTGCCTAGTAAGAATATTTAAAAATTGAAGCTGCAATGGAGATTCCTCAACTCTGATTGGTTGTTTTTCATTGGGTTTGTTGGAATCTTTTTCTGTCCACATGTTGATTTTAAGTCTAATATGCTGTCTCTTTGGGCTGTTTATGGTGTCTACCAACTTGTGGCTAACTGTACAACCACATTATGATAGCAGTGAAAGGGAAAGAAGATGAATTTGGTTTGTTTCCCAGCCAAAGTTCCACTTTTATTATGCAATTTCACCTTCTCTCATTTGATATAAATATATAGATCACCATAAAGCTTGAGCTAGCAAGTTAATTCCTGCTGAGTTAATTAGTTACTCTTTTACATCCTCCTGTGGAGATCCAACATAAGCACTGTGTTAATGTTATTGTCTTCCACATCTTGTGTCATAACTCATTACTGCCAAGTGCATTATACCTTCTACTTTAACAGACTACCAACTCTGATAACCCATATATCGCTGCTCTACTCTCAGGGTAAATGCATTCAATTCAAGTCTGCCACTGAAATAATGGCTGCAGCGCTTGAGATCACAACAAATAAATCAGCTGCCGGATTTGTCGATAAACCAACTATCGTTGAGACAAAAGAGCTACACAGTTACTAAAGGCTAGACAAAAACTTTAAAAGCACACCACAGGAACTCGGCAATGCAGCGCAATACAACCGATGAGCAGATCCAGTTCAGAAGACAATCAAGCAAACGGCCAAGCTATCAATGGCATACAAAAGGCGAGTGTGACCACCTCAGCAGGCCCTGGGCCAGGTTAGAGGCCGGGACAGAAGAGGAGAGCACCCAGATTGAGAGAGAGAAAGCCCGGGGTCAGCTATAATGAGCCGTGAATGTGAGCATCCGACCAATCCTGTTTAATGGGCTTCATCCCTAGAAAGGTTTCTGTCCTGCCTCGCACCGGTGTTTGTGTGTGTTCACGTTGGGGTTCGGGTCAGGGGGCTGCAAGGACTCTGTGACCCTGAAATGAGCTCTGGGAGACAGTGGAGACCCCCGCTGGCAGGACAGAGCCCCTTTTATTCTTTAATCTGCAAGCAAGGGGGATCAATATGGAAACTATTGGTGCTGGGATTGTGTGCAGGAGTAAGCGGTCCAACCATTTTAGATGTCTCACAGGGGGTTGGCGCACCCTGACAAAAGCACAGCCCCGCTGCCACCACCAGCCACAATGACCTGTGGGACAGTGGCACACAAGCAGCTAACCTACTTAACATTCATTAGTGTCAGAGAGGTGGACAGATGCTCCGGGTCTTACGGGTCTTCTCTCACATGTTCTCCACATGGGGCGCATTCAGCAGCGTTTGACGTCTTTCATTTGGGATATTGGAGTTGTGGGCGGTGGCGGCAGCAGGCCGATGAGCTGTGGATTTAGAAGAGCTGGGTGGGCATGGAGGGACTCACCCTGTGAGCGTGGTGTGCAGAGAGGGGGCCGTCAGGCAGCCAGGTGCTGACGGGATGCATGAGCCGAGCCAGGAGCCTCCGGGGTCGCTTGAAATCCGGATTTCTGGAAGGTGTGTTTCCCCAATAAGGCTCCGGAGCTCCTCTTCTCCCGATAGCAGACATTTCCAATGAGCTCTAGTCTTTCACTTTTGTCATTAAAAACACAATAGAAGTCCTGAAGTAATAGGAAAACACTGACCACCATTTTTTCCAAGAGAAAAGTTCAGTAATATACCGTCACGCTTTGTAGTGGACTGATTCAACGAACCGAGCAACACCTATTTGTGGGAGGCTCAAAGAATGCACTCTATTTAGATAGCTTATAGCTGTTAATAATTACAACCCTGCTGAACTAGTGCAACTCATCATGCATGTCGTTTCCTGGTAGGAAAAAAAAGCACACATACAATGATCCCCTGTGAGATTGCACATTAAACGTAAACCCTGTGTTCCTTCTATATGCAACAGAAAAAGAAGTCCTACAATAAACAAAGCTTTCGATTAAGAAGTGAACAGCACTGTTGCCCCCCCATACAGTGATAGAGAACAGAGCAGAAATCAGGGGCAGCTGGACAGAGAGAGGGCTTTTCAGGCCAACTCCAGACACAACATGGATCAGGTTCTGGGCTGCTATACAGCGGCATAAATCTCCTGGCCTTAATTACATTACAGGGCATATAGTGGTGGGCTCTGTGGAAACAATGGACCCTATCAATTCCACAAATCAGAGCTCAGTGGAGTGTGTGTGTGCTTCTGTGTGTGTGCACGTTCTCAACAGCTCTCCAATCAAAGCTTATTATGTGAGAGTGACTTGAGTTGGAGGTTCTTCATCTTAAGATTTGTAGTGCAGGAAAAACTGAGTAAATACGCTCTTGGTGTAATATTAACAAGGGCTGTGGACAATTGGGGAGTCGCCAGTGTTTTCCATGGTGACCAGACCAAACAGTTGGAGTGGAGACACAAGCAACCACCCCTTTACTACAGACCATGTCAAACTTCAGCTACAAAACGAATATTTTAACTTCTTTGTAGTTTTTAAAGACATGTCACCTTTTCAGAATAGGCTTAAAAGAAAAACAAGAATATGCTTTCTCTGAAACTGACAAGGGAATAAAAACAAGAAACAAGAAAATCCTAGCGTGACTTATGACATGTACTAAAGCTTCTTGAGACCCTCTAAGATCAAACTCTCCTTTACATCTTCCTTCCTAAAGCACACTCTCCAAAGTCTCCCTCTGTTTGACCCTACAGGGGCTCTGCAGTGCTTTTCGGGTAATCTAGATGCCACAATACCAGTTGCTAAGACACTGCCAAAAAATGCATTGTGTGACGGGATGTTTGGTTGGAAATGGAAGAGTTTTGTGGCATAGATGTGGAGGTTTTTTTCTAATGAAGAACAGCGGAATTCCTGTTTCAGTGCAAGCTGAAGCTAGTGTATATTTTAAAGATGTTTTAATACAGGTTTAATTGCATTGGATAACCATAAGAATGCAAACCGGTCTTCTCATATATTGTATACTTTCAGTATTGAAACTGATTGCATTTGTTTTGATCCGAGTTATGATACGTTTTATTATTATTATTTTAATGGCTCATTTATAATTTGGCTAAATGATACAACACTGGTACATTCACATCAATGTGTATGATTTTAAAGCAAAGTCCATGTATGCAACTATGAGAAATGCAACTGCTTTACTTAATACCTGATTTACTGTCACCCGTGTGTTTTATAAAGCTTTAACTGAGTCAGAGAAACACTTAAAAGCTCTTAAGGGTGACATTTAGATGTGAAATAACTCTAAACCATATACGTGTCAGAAAAAATAAATAAATAAAATAAGCTAAATAATGCAGAGAATGTTGTAAGTGACCAAGTACATACAGGAGTCTATATACAGTACATGTACATAGAATAAGATATACAAGAACAGAATATAAAATGAAATATGTTGAATGTTTATTGTATCCTTTGAAACCACTGTCTGAAGGAAATATCTGTCTCTTGAACTGCTAAATACTCGATATTTACACTTTATTCATCAGCTTGTGGCTCACTTTGTCTGCCTGTAATGTGCTGCTGGACAGGTACAGCAAAGCACCGTGAGATAATGGAGACTGATTCAAAATGGTACAAATGGGCCAGAAAAAACAAACAAAGAAATGAAGATACTAGAACTGTAATCTCTTCTCTCATTGAGACATACTGAGACTTAACTTACGTCCCATTCTCTTGTCTGCGGGTGGAAGCAACGCTGGTTAACACTGGCACATGTTGAGTGATTCACATTCAATCTTTTTTTCTCGATTAGACTAAATAATAGTCAAAAAAGCTCCCTTGCACATACAAATAAACACATACATCAGCACCCAACAGCTGACAAAGCCTCTCATCAAACACATCAAAATACAATTACAAGGGCTTTCATGCTGTTCTAAGGAAAGCAGCCCAGCCCACTGCGTGCTGCCCTTTGTCAGCAGCGAGACCCAGAATCAAAGAGCGCTGACCTGCCTCAGCTCTGCCCGGCAGGCCTGCGGGGACCCTGCTCTGACTCCAAACCCTGCTTACTATGCCATGCTGGCCCCCCCCCCCCGACTCCCTCCTGCTGCCCCCTGGTTTGCTCCGTTATTTCCTCATCCCATCAATCTGTCAGCTAAGCCCTTTGACACGCAGCACAATATGGTCCCAGTATTTCTCAGTTCATTCTCCCTCTTTTCAATATGGTTTCAGCATTTCAAGATTAGTCAGCTCACCCACAAGGCCTGCTCCCATGGTGCCTTGGGACCAATCAAAGGGAGAGGTTGGGGAGTCTGCAGCAAATATAGATGCTAGAAGCAAAGTGATGGCACCAATCGGGGTTGAACAGCATCTGGAGGTGTCATTTTAAAACACAAATTAATTTCAAACTCTCTTCATTCAAATTGACCAAATCTATGTTAAAGCTAACTTTCATGTTCAAACAGAACAAACACGTTTCATCATGAAATGTTCAAATTCTGCTCAAATAGTAAGTTTTGATTTAATAAGCCACACTTGTGTCAAGTGTCAATCCAACTATAGATAAATACTAAAGAGTTTAAACAAAGTACATTTTGAGTACAGTCCTTGGTCAAGCTTGTTTTTAATTTAATTTAGTTCAAAATAGTTTTTCAGACAGCTAAATAAGAGGAGAAATCATCAGGGATTGATCTTTGGAGACTGAGGGGTTGACCGTACTTAACAACTTTTGTAACATGCAGTCGTTTGAACTTTGACTTTTTTAGTTCAGTAGCATCTTTAAATGTTTTCTTTGACATGGCTAAAACACTGTTTACTTTTTTAAATTTCAGACTCAGATAATGATTTAAATTGACAAAGAATTTACATTCTGATGGCTGCACTTCCTCAGTGTTCAAGGAAACTATAAGTATAAAGTATAATTTATTAGATTTATTTTCAAATGTCTACCTCTCTGTGAGATTTAAACAACCAATAAAGGCTTTCTCATTAACTCTAAATGTGTTTTTTCCACATCTGCTTACTATAAAAGCCATCACTGATTAAATGTCCATTTTTAATACTGACAGAGTAACAAAGATAGTATAAATAAAAGTTGGCCACCTGTGAATGTGGCAAACAGTTTTATGGAGATAGGGAGGGGGAAAAGAGTGTGTGTACTCCTGCCACTGGACTGGACTCACTCGAGGACAGACCATTGAATTTATTTTCAAGTAAGGATGAAAGGAAGACTCCAAACTATGCATGTCGTCTATTCACTGCTGACGCTCTTTAAAGAAAGAAATAAAGACAGCAGAAAGAGTTGGAAAAGGGTGGAGGGGTGGAGCGCTGCATACATTTTACATACACAAGGCAGCAGACAAAGTGATTGTTGCTTCCCTAAAACTTTTTTTTTTCTCCTCCAGAACACTTTCCTTGCTGAATAGGCACCTATTAGTGACTCCATTATGGGCACAGGGCTCTTGAATGGCTCCTCACTGTGCGTCTTTATCATAGTCAGGCCGTGAATACAGGCGGCCCCCTCCTCCTGAAGCCCAACCAAACTCCTTACAGCTTGTATTGATAGGTGCTGTGGTGCTGGTGATGATGGGTGAGGCAGGAGGGGGGAGGGGGGGCAGCCACTCTCACCCCCTGTTGTGTGCTCCAGGTGTGGTGGGTTAAGCGTAGCGCTCCAAAACCTCCATTGTGGCGACTTTTTCTTAACCACTTGTTCCGATCAAATAAAATGGATGCAGCGTTTTACATGCATTAGCTGATCTCCATAATGCCGCCCCCCCACCTCCACTGCACCCCAAAACAAGTCAGGCCTCCGGTGAATCGCTGCACACTGCCTCAGAGCCCTGTATTGTTGCTGGATTATTCAGGAGTTAGCTGAAAGAAAGAGACAGGGAGAGTGGGGTGTCTGTACTTTATCTCCAGGGGAGACAGGGGCTGAAAAAGGAGCTTCTTTAGAGGAGTGAGTTACTGCGACGAAAAGCCCGAAAACACCTGCAGAACGCAACGCACCGCCATTGTTCGTCTTTACTTTGCTTGTACAGCCTCGGAGGTACTGTAAACTAGCTTCTACTGAATGCAGGAGCTTCTATTCATCACAAATCCTGTCAAATAACCTGTCAAAACATGACCACCTCTCTCTGTCTGTTGTATTGACAAAGCCATCAGTTGAGAATGTTGTAAGTTGTGACTTCATAAGCCACTCTTACAAGTGTCAATTCAACCCTATCTTACATTGGATCAACAGGAATCAAGATCATGTACTGTACGTCCATTTTTTTATATATCATCCAATAGATAAATACATAAGATTTTAATTTTAAAACATTTGTAGTCCTTGGTAAAGCTCTTTGTTATTTGATGAAATGGTTTAGAAGTTTAAATATGTTTTTTTTTTTAAAACACTTAAATGAGGAGAGAAATCTTCAGGGATTGATCATTGTAGAATGGGGAGTTCTGCAGAGTAAATAACACCATGTCCCTGCGAGGTATTGTAAATTAGCTTCTTCTGAATGCAGGAGCTTCTATTCATCCAGTAGAGTAGAATAACAACATTGTCACCTCGCTCCGTCTGCACTCCGCTGTATTGACAGGCCCATCAGAATGTCGTTTTTTCAAACAGCGCGACTGAGCAAATATCTGTGAGTGTGTGCA